CGTTCGAAGACAATGCTAAAGTACCCTTCATGGCATAATAAAAGTACGCGCTCGTTCCCATAAATATGAACGTACATGTATGTATGTATGTGTGCGCATGCCAGTATGTATGTATGTATGTAGGTATGTGTTATTTTAATGAACGTCGTTCGCCTTTGCTGTTGTTGTTTTCTTTTAATTTTCGTCTTGTCCAGTTTTCTTTTTGCAAGCAGAGATCATGATTATGTAAATGGAAGCAAAGTAAAAGGGAAACTAAATACTTTAACTATGCAAGTAGTTTATCTATTTTGTGACTCTCGTCGGTCTTTCGACCAACACAATAAAAATACAACAGCGACAGGCGAAACCCCCAGAGCATGCATAATAAATAAATACATGAACATACATATGTATGTATGTGTACATACGCATACACATGCACACATTTAACAGTTAATTTGCGAATGCAACCACAATGCGAATGCAGACATAGACAAAGTGATTAATTATGGTCAATAAGAGCGGGAAAAAATTACTAAATAGAATTGAAAAATTATCAATTAGCTGTGCCACATTCACTTAACAGCACCTACAATAGCAACAACAACAACAACAAAGACATTGCAGCGGTACGCACACGTCGAAAGTATGTGATAAAGGAGCCTGCAGCTTGAAAAGACAATACAGATGCACAGGCACACACCCACACACGGCGCAGCCGCTCGCACACACTCAAACACGCACATGTACACGCGCGCCAATTGGATTTTATTGATTTTTCCTGTAAAAGGAAAGATGAACGCAAACGAAAAACGCTAAAAACTTGAAAACTTGTCAAACTCTTCATTCGCTTTAATGATATACTTATAATTAAGACTGCCATAAGAGCGACAAAGCGTCTAAAAACATTTAGTGTTTCGAATAATCTTGTAGGTTTTGTCACATACATAAAAAGAAGATTTTATTGAGTCTCCCACACAGCGACAAGTTTAGTGCATACCTTGACCAAAAGTTCTTAGTGGCTCGTAACAGCTGCTGCCTTGATTAGACACATTTCATGCTTTATCTTAAATGTTTACTTTGAGCGATTGCATTTATTTATAATTCTTACACATTTCGCGATAAAACAAATAATAGCGCACGTATATTTTTTGTTTTACGACAACCGTCCGTACTCAGCGGTTATCCGTGGCACAGCCAAATCTTATTGGTGATGAACTAGTGATGGACTATACAAAACGATTGCAACTTAACATTTTGTCGAACTGTTATTGACAGCGAACACTTGAGACAAAAAATACTAAAGACTGACTCGAATTTTAAATTTAACAGTGGCTCAAAATGACAGTTTTCAGAAAAATGACTATATTTAAAATACTTTTCAGGTTACTGTTTTTATTTTGATAGGATTGTTTTATAGAATAGCGCATATTTTAAGCAAGCCCTAGTGGTGTTGCAAGTAATAATAAACTAATCAGCTACTTTGCGTAAGCTCCTTTGGATCTAGAGTCATTTCTTAGAGTAAATGATTATTTCCATAAAATAAATACATAATTCAAATATATGAACAACAAATTGCATTTATATAAAATAAGACGAAATAGCGCACAAATAGGACAAAGAAACGTATCTAAATTGTTATATCGTTATCGTAACTCGATAAGCGGTGGCGGCTAGTCGATAAATTCTATATAAAACAGCAAACACAAAATAGACTAAATTGCAAATCATTTGTAATTTCTTTTTCGTGTTCGCAAATCTCCCACAGTGACAGCATGGAACAAATGGACGTTGATGTTGACCTAACCGCCAAGCCGAGCACATCATCCTCAGCGGCAGCAACTTCGGCCGCTGGCGATGCTGCTAGCAACAAACAACCTCAAATCAAAGGCAATATTATGGCTGCGTCTGGTACAATTGCGTCGGTAACAATTTCATTGCATCCATTGGTCATAATGAATATATCGGAGCATTGGACACGTTTCCGGGCACAGCACTGCGAGTCGCGTCAAGTGTATGGCGCACTGATAGGCAAACAAAAGGGCCGCAATATCGAGGTAATGAATTCGTTTGAGCTCAAAACCGATGAAATTGCGGAGGAGACAATCATCAACAAGGACTATTATAACAAGAAGGAGCAGCAGTACAAGCAGGTTAGTTCGTTTAACTTAATCCAAATAGTGGCCAGCTCATAAGTACTTGTGGTTTGCAGGTGTTCAGCGATCTGGACTTCATTGGCTGGTATACAACGGGCGACAGTCCCACTGCGAGCGACATAAAGATTCAAAAACAAATAGCCGAGATTAATGAATGTCCCATCATGCTGCAGTTGAACCCGTTGCCACGTAGCGTGGACCAGCTGCCTGTTAAGCTATTCGAATCGCTAATCGATCTGGTCGACGGCGAGGCCACCATGCTATTTGTTCCGCTTACCTATACACTGGCCACCGAGGAGGCCGAACGCATTGGTGTGGATCATGTGGCACGCATGACCACAAACGAGTCGGGCGAAAAGAGCGTGGTCGCCGAGCATTTGGTTGCCCAGGACAGCGCCATTAAAATGTTAAATACGCGCATTAAAATCGTTTTGCAATACATCAAAGATGTCGAGGCGGGCAAGCTAAAGGCGAACCAGGAAATATTGCGTGAGGCGTATGCCTTGTGCCATCGTCTGCCCATAATGCAGGTGCCCGCCTTCCAGGAGGAGCTCTACACACAATGCAACGATGTGGGCCTGATCAGCTACTTGGGCACGCTGACCAAGGGCTGCAACGACATGCATCAGTTTGTCAACAAATTTAATATGCTTTACGATCGCCAGGGCTCATCGCGGCGCATGCGTGGCCTCTATCCCTAAGCGGATATGTGGAGAGATATTTATTTTATATATATTCTGAATTGCTGCCGATTAAATGAAAAACACCACAATGTCAAGCAGTTGTTCCTTGTCAATTTCCTGGTATAGTTAACCAAATGTGACACGCTTAGAAGACAGCCACGACCCCACGAAGTATGCATACCCTTGAGCCAGATCGATATAGTCATAGCTGTCCCATGGTACGTCCCTTTCTAGGTAACTAATCTCTGTTTTAAATCTTAAAACACATACAACTTTTCAAAGATCCTTAATTTTGATGTTTTGAGCAATCTGTTATCAGACCGCGTTATCATATAACTACAATAGAAACTTTTTCTAATCAATTAAAAGAGATAAATCTCATTAAAATCTCTTATTGTAAAAAACCATATGGAAAAACTCGCTAGATAAATTGAATATCGCCAGCTAGAACACCACTATGTTCTGTTGATAATTCGATTTTTTATTATTGTTTGCAAACTACACACAGTTGGAACTAAGCAGGGGGAAACCACATACGTATGCATATCACTTTCTCATCTTACTCATCCTTCATAGAGCTTCAAGCTACTTAAATTCAATTCAATGTGTCCTAAACACTTAAATACATAAAGTTCATGCGGTGGGCCATTCTCTAATGATTATAATCGTCCAATTTGATGTTGGCAGCGTATTGCTGCAAAAACTCCACTTCCAGCGGATGCATCTCCTTGGCGGGTATGATCAGTGAGTGCAGCGGGCCGCCCAGATCGGTGGCACGCATACCGTGCAGGGTGCTAACAACAATCTGTTGCGTATCCTGGCCAACGCGTGCCAGTCCCACGCACAGCGACTGCTCATTTAGCACTGTATTCCGCTCCAGAGCATCCTTCTTCTCAACAATGGTCAGCAGCTGTTGTGCGGCTTCGGCGACGCTCATAAAACGCGGGGGCATGTACTCCTTGCGTTTGCGCATCAGCGACTCGGGGGTGGGCTCCTTAACCTTAATGTCCAGCAGACAGAGCGTGTGCATATTGTGCAGGCGATTCAGCTTAATCTTATCGTAAAAGCTATCCGGCTTCCATGTCTCATCCCAATACGGTATAGAGACAGTTTCACCGAATTTGTACAGCTGCAGGCCACAACAGCCAATGGCATTCATAATGGACGCATTATGTATAACCTTATAGGGTATGTTTTTCTCCTTGGCGCGCAAAATGAAATCTGTGTGCGTTGTGGCGCCAAAAGGGTCGCCCACAACAAGCAGGGCGACGTCCGTCTCACCAGCGCCAGCCAATATCTCATCGGCGCCCTGTTCCACCAGGTCACGGTCAGCCAGCAGCAAGGGACGTCCATAGAACTCTTGCTAAACAACAACAACAACAATACAGAAAGAAAAAAACAACAATGAAAAACCAAAAAACCGAATATTTAACGCATATGTATATACAGATTTAATATTTGCGCCTCACGCACAGTTGTCCCTACTCACCATATCCTCAAGGCTGCAGCCCAGAATTGAGGTATACATTTCCAGGTACACACGACTACATTGCTTTACAATTTCAAGGCCTTTCACTGTGATATCCTTGATATCGCCCAGACCGAGTCCAATTAGATAGAACATTCTGTCTTGTTATTTGTGCGCAATTTACAATTGTTTATCTTGTGAGTATTTGTTTTTTTTTTTTGTTTGCAAGTATATATATGTGTAAATTTATTTAAGCGCTATGGATGGAAACCGACACGTGCCCGTTATATTAGATTTGCACCTCGCTTGTTGCTTCTTCACGCGCGGACGACGCGATTGCACTAACATCTGATTTACAGTGTTGCCATGTGCGTCATTTTCCAATTTGATTTAAGTGCGCTTCGGAAAGATATACTTGTATAAGCTGGTCACACTAGCACTGGGATTAAAATGTATAAAATAATAATAATTTATAATTATAACAACAGTTATACTTTGTTGATTCACTTTTTTATTAAAATACCCTCGTTTTTGCAGTTTTGTGCGTATGCTCGTCATGGCGTTTAGCGGATTCGCTGAATTGTTCTAGCAAGACTGCCCTTGTTAACATTTATGCACTCAAATAAATACTAAAAAAATGTTTGAATTTGCTTACTATATTTTCCAGCATTGGCTAACTATCGTTATCGAATCAGCCGATTTATTGCTGTATATTCCACGTGCGGCTGCAGCTTTAAAATTTGTCTCATCCTATTCTAGTGTTTGTTTATTAAGTAATAGTAAACGTCAAGATGCCGCCAGTAAAGAAACCCAAGCCCTTTAAGATGCAAAAACAAGTGACACCGTCCAAATCGCCCGACCAAAATAAAACCGTAATTTCCGGCCAGGTGAGTTAAAGTCTCTCCAAGTAACGGTGCCCAAACTGTATGCGACACCATTTTTGCAGTTGAAGAAGAAACTGAACCACGCCAAGCCGCAGCCAAAGGCGCAGCAGGAGCGCGGTGTGGTGTTCATCAAACATTTGCCACATGGCTTCTTTGAGCAGCAATTACGTCAATATTTCAAGCAATTCGGGCATGTAACGCGTGTGCGCCTTGCGCGTTCCGAGCGCACCGGCGGTAGCAAAGGATTCGCATTTGTTGAGTTCGAATATCCGGAGGTGGCGAAAGTAGCGGCAGATACGATGGACAACTACCTGATGTTTCAGAAAGTGGTCAAGGCCTCGTATATACCGCCCGAGCAGCAAAAATTCAATTACTTCAAGAAAACGGTGAAAAAAGTCACAAATAAGGTAAGCACGGCTGAAGATTGAATATAAATTGTATATAATATTGTTTGTTTGTTTGTTTTCTAGGCTGGCAAAGAGATTTATGTTTCGGATGTAACCAAAGCTACGCAACGCAGTGTCAAGAAACAAAACGATTGGAACGAAAGTGCCTGCCAGAAACGCACTGTTTTGGGCATCAAAAAACTAAAGAAGATGCAAGATAAATTTAAGCATTTGGGACTTGACTTTTCCAATTTCATTGTCGAACCTGTCAAAAAATCAAAGGTGACGGAACAGAAAGCGAAACCTTCCAACAGTAGCAAACAGAAAGCGCCGGAAAAAGAGCTGGAACTGGCAGATCTGCTGGGCAACACCATCAACGAAGACTCGGATGATGAGGACTATGTTGATGCAAGTGACGATGATACTGAACAGGAGCTGAACAGCGCTGAAGATGATAGCGACGACGCTGAAGATGATGACGACGACGACGATGACGATGATGAGGTGGAGGAAGAGCTGCAGCCAAAACCGGCAGCTAAAAAGTCGCTTAAGAAAAACACTAGCGCTGAGCGCCAGTCTGAGCTGCTCAAACGCAAACCCGGCACGGGTGGTGTGCAGAAAAAGAAGACCGCTGCAGCGTCCAAAGTGAACAAAAAGGCGGCCACGAAAACGCTGCAGCTGGCCGCGGCCAAGCAGTTGGCCAAGCCGCTGCAAAAGAAGGTTGCCAAGAAGATGAAGAAGTAACTATAGTATATTTTTACCATAATAGTTAAGTAAACAAAACGTTGTATAAAAAATAATTCTTTTTTTTTTCTTTTAAATTTAAACTAATGTGCTTTTGTGGATCCGGACAACTCAAGTTTGATGCGCTTGCATTTCATGCGTCGATTTTGAAACCAAACCTTCACCTGGCGCTCGGTCAGCTCCAGGGCGACGGCAATTTCGTAGCGACGCAGCCGGGTTAAATAATTGGAGTAGCAAAATTCAGCCTCCAGTTGCTTGAGTTGGGCTTTCGTAAACGCAGTGCGTTCCTTGCGCTGAGCGATGGGTGCTGTGGCGATCGGCTGCGTTGGTGTCGTTGTGGGTGTGGTTGCGCTACCTGTTAATTGCAGGGCTTGGCAATCATTGGCCGCGGCATGGCTCCAGATCGTTTTCCCATAATCCTCATAGCTGGATGCATTGCTCTGCTCATAATTGTAATCATAGTCCGCATAGCCGTCGTAGTTGGGCCAAACTTTTGTGTCATTCACGTAGAAAACGGACGGATCCGTGTTGCTGGCGCTGCAGTTCTTCATTGGAGTTCCTTCTGGGCGCACACTCTAATTAATACTGAACGCTCGGCCACATGAAGATGCCTCTTAAAACAACTTTTCTGCTAGCCGCCGATTGGCTCTCACTCTCCGCAGCCGATTGGCTCAATCTGTTTTTCCACTTAAATGTAAATGATGTGCTGCTGATATGATAATTGTGCGCAACATCTGGACACACAGCTCCCCACACCCGCCGGCTCGACCAACCAGCCGTAACGTCGCGTGCTCTGCTTTGCCTTTGAGCGCTTGTGACACCCACAAACTATGTTGTTGTTTTTCTAAGACTCGGATGACCAGCTCGCTGATCTCAAAAACAAAACAAAGAAAACTGACTAGAAACGGAAGTAGCTGCAGCGCGCATGTGTGTGGTTCTAGGTCTACAAACAAACATGAGTCAAGTGCTTTGTGCGCTTTGAAGAACTCTAAAATTTTAATATCGCTCGTAAAAGTCGATCGTCAGTTGGGGTTTTATATAGTAGATGACTGACTGTCAATTGCACGCGCTTTTTAGTTTTTGCGCATCATTTGGTTGTGCTACGGCGCGGATATCCACATCCTCAACTTTACCCACTGACCGCAACTTGTCTATTAGTTTGCCTGCAACCTGATGTCATCATTATTCTGCAATTGTCAATATACATAATAAAAATCTACCATTTTTTTTAAAGTTAAGTTGATAAAATAATAATCTCGGCACTTAGTGACATATTTGAATTTTAAACTCGCAACCCAACCGCCAAACAACAGACAACATCTGGCAACGCCATTTATAGAGTGGACTATTGCTCTTTAAAAACTGATATAAGTAAATAAAAAATAAATTAATATCTGTTCTTGAGTATCAATTTTTGATTTGCCCCCATTAATTAGAAATAAATTACTATGGCTTTTTGCTATACCTTTTTTAAATTGTATACTTTCTGACCCCTTTTAATTAGTGCCTGCTGACATGCGATAATATGAAAATGCTCCCATGTATAAGAAATCGAGTGAGTACACCATTCGATATGCACTCTCATACCTAGGTGAATGTAAACGAATGCGGCTATTAAACATCGATAGACTGAAACAACAACAGAAAGGCGTCCGTGGTGTTCGGTTCGCGAGTCGCGCATCCGCATCAGCTTTTTTTTTCGAAAATTAATTAATTAAATTAATGCAAAGTAAGTTAGCCCTTATGTTAATAGCACAAAATAATGTACAAACGCGCGCCGCAATGGCAAATTAAACTACATGCCGCAGAAGTGGCAGCAGAGCAGCAGCGACTGCGGCGAAGTGTTGAAAGTAGAGAGAGAAAAAATCTCTAAAAAAAAAAAACACCGAAAATCTTTAACAAGTTTTTGTGTTTGCAGATGCGGCAGCTGAAAAATTGCGTTAAAAGAAAGCTGCGCTATAGCCTGGGCAGCAATTGAATTGTTAAATATGATCAACAAACTAGCAGTCAATTTTTAAGTTGTACATGTGTGTGTGTGTGTGTTTGTGTCTGTGTTTGCGTGCGTGTTTATGTGTGCGTTTATGCCTGCGTGTAAGTGAAATAAAAGCAATTGTAAATGAGTGCGCAAAGAAGTTGTGAAGTGGCGGCAGCGACAGCCAAGCCCAAAACTTCAGTCAAGCATTACGAGAGAGAAGAACGCTACAAATATTAAAACAAAGTGCAAATGACGAGAGCGTCAAACACATTGGCAAATTAAATAAAAGTCAAAGAAGAAATACCGCAGTAAGCAGCGGTCAGCAGTTCCAGGTGTTCAGCAAATTGCAGCAGCAGCAACAACAACAACGAAAACAGCAGCAACACACACTCACACCCGCACAGGGAGCGGCAGCAGCAGCAGCAGCAGCAGTGGGCGACAACGTCAGCGTCGCGCAATGACCGAGGAATTGAAAGTGGTGCTGCGCCGCAGTCGCAGTGAGCAGCATTCCGGTTTCGGGTTTTCGCTGCTCGGCACAACTGGACCGCCGCATGTCATCTACGACATTGTTGAGAATTCGCCGGCCGCCGATTGTGGTGCGGTAAGTAATCCTCGCATATGTACACACTCTTTCCTCTGGTTAACCACGCCAAGACTGCACTCTATCGCCTTTTGCCGCAAACTCTCGTATCCTACTTGGCGTTGCCGTATTCTCATTTGAGACTGCCCTATGACTTCATCAACCACCGAGTTAGCATAAGGGACTCAAGTAGTGAATATGCCGTGCACCACCCCCTTTTTGTCGCATTTGCCGCTGTTGATAAGCGCATTTTTTACGTTTGATGACTTTCTGAGTCTGTGTGTGTGTGTGTGACTGTGAAAAGCACTCAATTTTGCAGGCAAAAAGTTGCCAGAAGTCGCGGAACGCGAATCGCGACCTCGACGCAGTCATCGGCGTTGCCCATCTTCAATAACGCCCACTGTGATGTCATCGTGTCACTTGCCATTTTATTGGGGGCGCTGGCACTGACTAGCCGGGCGCAGTGACAGCTCCATAGTGTGTACCACACACACACACACAGACAGACACACAGAACTACCGCTATGTATCAATTTTCGTTTGGGTTTCACTTCTATTTACTTTTGTTATTGAAATTCCCATGAATTGCCCATTTGCTCATTTCGATTTCAATTTAATAAAAAATATAAACATACATGAATGTGTGTCTGGGTGTGTGCACAGCCAGTATAAAATAAAATGCGAGAATTGGCAATTCATTTTTCTATATTTATTTAAGTTTCCATTTCCATTTTAATAAATCTGAAAGCCAATAAATCATTTGCATTGTACAATCGTGACGCAAAAGATGTGCCTGAAAATACTATTGCATAATATATAAAAAATTATTTAGTATTTGATATTCTTGAGAGAATCCTCTCCTTATGATAAGCGAGCTAGATATGAGGTTAATCAACAGTTTCGTTGTTGAAAATGAAAAATTAATTCTGTTAGACGATATCTTTGAAGTATCTTTTATCTTGGGCCTGTGCAGCGCAACTTTTTCTTATCAAATGCGTTATTCTTAGCTTTAATTACTCTTCGAATTGGATTCGTAACTAAAAAATGTGTGATTTGCGTATCAGATTTTGCATAATAAAAAAATAGCAATCACTTTTGGTTTTTTATAAAGGGTTTGTCTCACAGGATATCCTTTTTTTATGATCTCTACGAGTCGAAGGTCAACGTTTTATAGTTTAATAAATTTTAAACAAATTCGTGATTATATATTTATATATGAAAAATAAGCTATATTAAAATTAAATGCTATAGAAAAGTTGTAAAGGGCGTTGAAAATCTATGTTAAATGAAATATTCTAAGTTCTGGAAGTTTTAATATCATACGCACATTTGCCCATAAGTTTAATGACTTCCTTATCTAAGAAACTTACGCACAAAATAGAAAAAAATATATATGTTGTATGCTTCATTTTAATTCCCTCAAGAGGTCATTACTAAAAATGTGTGTTGAAAATCCCAAACACAAATCGGAAATGATTCGTTGGGGATATGTCCACGTACCGGGAGTTGTATTAGACGGTACCGAACGTGTCGCACATTTTAAACGCAACTTCAAATGCACAAAGTACGTTGAAACAGTTTGGTTTTCAAAAGAAATGCAAAGTAATTGAACAATCACAACAACAGCAGAAAACAACAACAACAACAAGCAGAAAGCGCAGCTATAAAAAGCAAAGCGAAGACAAAATTATAAAAATAAGTCGCACTCACACACAGACACGACACCAACAGACACACACACACACACGTGCACACAAGTGTATAGTTATCAGACTTAGCAAATGTAAAAAGAAAATAAAAACCGAAGACGACAATAAGACAAACAAGCAACATAATGTTTGTACACGATTATTGTTATTGCTTTTGACTTTTCGAGCGCGTCTTTTTGGTTATTAAAAATAAATGTATTCGCACGACTAAAACAACAGGAGAAAAGTTTGAAAGAGTTAAGGAACACAGAGACAAAGAGTCGAGTGCAAAAAACGTGTTTGGAATTTTAAATTAAAATATTAAGTAATTTGACAAATGATTAAAAAGAGAAAAATATATGCACGTATAAAAAAGTTGTCAGCCAGTCGCAGCAACAGTGACAATGACAGCAACAACAACAACAGCATAGCAGCCGCAACGTGGCCTGCAGTCTGTTGACAGCGTCGACGTCGACGTCGACGCTAACAGAGCAACCAACTCGCCGACTTCGTTGCCGGCGTTGTAATCACACTGACATTTACTCATACCCATACATACACGCACACAGACACACACACGCAGCGGCACGCACTTTTTCAATTTGTTATTATCGCTTTCGCTTACAACTTGTTGTTGCTTTCAGAGGGGATGCTATTGCTGTTGTTGTTTTTATTTTTGTCGTCTATCTCGTTCGACGTCTTTACGTTTATTGCCTTTTGCTGTGTCTGTTTCAGTTGTTCTGGGTGCGCAATATTTTTTCAATGGGCTGTGAATCTCACACTATGTGCAGTACATGTAAATATGTATGTAAGCATTCGCTTGTATAAAGTCAATGTATAAATATGAGCTATCTGCTGGATCGTGATTTAAGCGATGGTTTAATGATAAATTAAAACGATACCTATTTGTAATTTCAATGCAAAACATGCGAGACTATGTAAGAAGCTTTTAAAATAACAGGAGTTGGTAATACGGTCCAAATGTGTAAATATTAACATATGCATGTATGTGTTTGTGAACATTGAGATTGAGAGGGTTGCCACATCTTGTAAAAACATCGCACTTCATATTTTCTGAGCTTTGTTGCATAATTCTAATAATAAGACACATATTAGTCCCATTATATATTACATGAAAATGTACCAATTGTTGTACATAAATTCTAAAAGCTCCTGTACGTTTTTGTCTATTGCATTATATTCAGTTTATTGTTATTATTGTAAGTTGGCAGTTATGAGGCGCTCTCTATGTGTTTGCTTGTTTTTGTTTGTATACAATTTGATCCGACAATCAACGACAAATTTGTATTAATTACATTAAATACAGAAAACTGAAGAACTTGTAATCTGTTTGCCGTATCAAATGTTATTTCCATTTGAGTGATTTTGTTTTCTATAAATAATCGCACCTGCATGTGCATAAATGTATATTATTTTCATTATAATATCAACTTATGTACACACACACACACAGGCTTATGCGTAAATACAAACATGCATACAGAGTCGTCATTAATCAAATTCTGGGTTCTTCTACATTTTGGTGAATTTGTTTCTGGTCTTAGCTAAATTGCTTTTTAATTTCTACCTACAAGCTGTCTGTGGCTTAAAAAGAGACCAGTTTCAGAACGAGAACAGTTCACATTTCAATTACATATGTATGCACATGGCTGTGTATGTGCGCGTGTGTGTGTGTGTGTGCGCGCGCTCATTCCAAACTGGTCCAAAAGACGCATTAACAGCTTTAATCATTCACATTTCCCGCTGAACGCACATGGTTGCATATTTTTGTGGCTACATTCTTCCCCACCCACTTCCTTGCCCAGCCCCTTTTTACGATTGTCTGTCATCTTTTGTATGTATGTGTGTATGCGTCTGCCCCTCGGTCTTGCAAAATTCTAACGCTAAGCTTAATTAGACTTTAACTGGAAGTGACTAACGACTTTTGTTATTGTGATGTCTGAAAAGAAATTAATTGCCGCAGACAGGCGGGCAAACAAAAGGAACAAAAGAAAAGCACAAGGCTATATTGATTTTTTTTTATCTAAGTGCAACTTTTGCAAACAACCACACACATACATTTAAGCATGGTTTGGTCAGCATTGCAAACGGGCGTCTGCTGCCCCGTGTATAGTACATACATATATATCTTCACACATACAGAAAATTGTCATTAAATATAAAGTGAAGCTCAGTTTGCTACAGAAACAACAAATTTGAACAAACTGTCGTTTTTGGGTTCAACGTGCGTAGCACACGAGTTTGTGGGTAGGTCACGACACGGTACGACAAAAGCAACGTGCACGCGACATTTTGCCATTTCGATAAATGTCAACGGTCCGCGTATGAACAAGAGAGTTTGTCGTTTCTCAGTTTTCTTTGGTTGGGTTGGAAGTCAAAAGTGCACACACTAAAGTAAATTCGCTTTAATTGAATTACAAAAGTAGAAAAAAAAAAATTGCGCGCGTTTATTAAGTTAGTTTTTAATGGCAGCTCAACGGGTGAAGTAGACTAAAGTGTGAGGTAAGCTGAGTGGGGGGTGGCCTTTGGAGAGCTTGTTGGCGGCGTTGAGCGCATGCTGCGGTTCGTTGCACGCCACGGCACAGCGAACAGCGCAACAACAACAATAACAACAAGCATTTACGAAATAATAAGTTAGAACAATGAGTGCATAAGGCACAGGCAGGCACTCGGCTAGCAAAAAGCAGCCGAAGAAAGCGCAGTGTGCAGTAAACTTTGCGCTAAATCTGAGCATTCTATTAAAGATGTGTTTGTTTGTGTGCGTTCAAGCGGTGCAAAAGACTCTACCAAACACTAACTGCATATATGTATGTATGCACGTATGTTTATAATGCACTTAATGTACATGTGTATGTATGTCTGTATAAATGGCTGCACTTTGTCTGACGGTGTTGCCACTTGGCTGCAAATTGAGTGGCAGCACTTGTAGTTGTCATCCGTCTTGAGTTCTTTTCACGTGCATGTGTGTGTCTATGTTATTGTTGTCTCTTGTTTTCTTTGTTCGCGCTCCCTCTGCTTGCCGCTTTAAGAATGCTCAATTAGACGCAAAGTGGCCGACGAGCCGGCCGGCTACCTACCTGATTGGCGAAGTCGACTGGATTATCCCCCCACCTCTAGTGCCCTGGTTAGCTATTTGGGCATGTACAATATGCAGTGCAGTCGCGAATTTGTATGCGAACGCAAATCAATAGCAAAACGGGCACCAAAAATAAACTTGTTTTTTCTTCTTCTTGCTTTGTTTAAAAACATTTTTCTGGGTGGTTTGCTCGTGCTGTAGTTTACGCTTTGCACAAATGCAAATACAGGTCACATTGCGCGGCCGTTGGAGGAAGGGGTTACGATTCGTGCTAATTCCTCAGCCTCGGCTGTTATTTTTAGTTTTATTTCTGCGTCTCACACTAAAATAGGCAAAAAGTTAAGCAGCTGTGAAATTGTCGTTAAAATTGAAAGCCAACTCAAATGCCATTGTATGTACATACATATGTACATGAGAATGCACAGTTAGAAATTTCGCAAAAAACTTGTTCTAGAGCATAGCGAAACGGTTTATTTAAATAACAAATTACGGTAATGGTATTTTATATCTTTAAATGTGCATATTTACTAAGTTCACTGGAGCGCTAAACGCGTTAATAACTCAATTCGAATCTTCGCAAACAGATTTGTGTGAAACAGAAATGTACACATAAAACCGCGTCAGAATTAACATCATGCTAAGAAGGGGGAAACCGACACTCAAATTGACATAATTAAGCAGAACGAAAGCGGTGCGATAACTCCATTTGTGACTTCCGTTCCTTTGCCGGTTGCACAACTACACACCTATGAACGGAAAGTGTATTAATAAAACGAAATTTGTGTTTATTCGCTGGCATTTTAAATGAAAGGGAGCACACAATGGACAGTTCGGATTGCTGGCAAGGTCGTTCAAATACATACACGTGTTAAACATTTTGAATGAATGCGAATAAACGAACGCGCGATGCTGCTGTTATCGAATTAGGCAGATATACGCTCAAGCAAAATAGAGTAAACAATATATGCAGCGTATTTAAATGAAACGTCACTGCAGACTGACAAACTGACACATATAGACTGCTGTGCTTGACAAGCATGATGATAAATGACAGACAGCTCTGTGACTGTGCAGTGGTCACTCTATTCACAATAGTTCACGCTATGAGCACAAGTGAAAGAGAAAGGAGACGCCGCTGCTGCTGTGTCGCATGGCAACACCGCAAAACAACAGCTAGCGAAAAACAAGTACGTTCAAGCGAAGTGGCAAAGCTATTAGTCTAATAACAGTTTAAAATTGACTGAACCGCAGCTATCCAGCTCGTAGCCCACTTAAACACAGCGTTGCCCTGTTTGTGTTTGCTTACCTTTTGTAGATAGTACGCCACTCTATGGCTGATTGGGGCAGGTGGCATTGCCAGCACTCGCAAGTCGATTTAACGCCTATGCAAAGCCTTGTTTTTTAACCCAACATTGATTTTCTATAAATTTCATGTCTCTTTTTCAAACGACTGACTGAGGTGACGAGTAAGAAAGTGTTTTTGTTTTTGTTCTGTTAGAGATGAACGCGTGTCGGCTTTTTCATCTAACAACACAAAGGTATGTGTACTAAGGGTTGCCGTATAGCTTTTTCGAGAACCTCACGCTTTTAACATTACATAGGGTTAGTAAACATAAAAACAGGTCACTAAAATATTTTTATTTAAAAAAAAAATCAGGAAATGCGAATTTCAATCGTCTTTCGTGTGTTTGATAAAAATATGATCAATAATTATTTTAATTTTGCCAGTTTTTCCCAAAGAGTTAAGTAAGCGCACGTTTTAGGTTGTATGTGTCCGTGTCACGACATTAAGCACGACGCCCGTTCAACTATATTTGCAGCCACTGTTAGCCGCCCCAATGCCTTCGCATAACGGTGAAGGCAATGCTCGTGCCGCACTGCTTCGTACTTGACTAGGTCAACGCCATGTCGCCAACGTCGTCATGGATGGCATTGCGCTGACACTAATACAATCAAATCATTGGCTTGTTTACCTGCATACCTGGCTGCCAGCCTGCCAGCCCGCCAGGTTGTGATTGGGTGGGCGTACAGTTGTTGCTATTGTTAATTGATATTGCTGGCACAATAAACTGATTTGCAATCAACAAATAAGCTTCATTGAATATGAGTTCAAGAAGAGACAACTGCCATAAAACAAAGCAGCCGAAATAAATATTAATATATCTATAATATTAAGCCAATGCTTTTAACACTAATTGGGGCATTAAGTTTTTATGTGGGAGTAGATAACAAAAACCTGGCGTGAATATTTAATCGATTCAAGGCGCCTCAACTCTAGACGTTATCAGTGTTTACGGCGATTAAATTTGATTTAAACGCGTTTGCTATATAACCTTTAAATACTGAAAATACCACCAACAATTATGAACAACTTATTTATTAATGTTTTATTGATTGCGATTGAAGAATTGTCAATTGCTTTAATTGCTCAATGCAAGCATGTACTTGATGTACATACATACATATGTATTTTCTCTTGCGAGAGCAGCACGACTCTCTTAAGCCAATTGAACACGCCTAATCAACAACAAACTTGGTATTTAGTTTAGCGTTACACGATTACACGAAGTAGACATCATCGATAAAAACGTGACTGAGCGCCGGGAAGAAAATGAAGAAGGTTGAGCGTCGTGAAATCAAATCAATTTGCAAACAAATTATACGTAAACATACAAGCATATGTGCATGCATGCATATCTCAATTTTAGCGAAAGATCCAGCGATCTATAAGAAAGTGATGTGTTGGCTAACGGCAACAATATGTGTATGTGTGTGTGCTGCCAAGTTACAAAGCGAAAAACTTCAAACAATTGCTTGAAGTGTTATTGGCGCATTTTACTGTATGCATAAATGTTTAATTACACAAAATTACAAACGATGAGATTAGCATAAACCATTAATGAGATTTTAAACGCAACGCACACAAACTGTAGGCTAATGTGTGTGTGTGTGTGTGTTAGATCGCGCAGAGCTCCTTCTTAACACTAAATTTGCAATAGGTATGTTGGACATTAATTTATCTCTTTGCTTGTTGTAGTTTCGCTTTTTTCCAAACAAAATTACGTAAATGCACACACAGACACACATGCACATGTTTGTTTCCCGCTAACCAAGGGACTTGAATTTAATTTTTTATCAGCATTTCAATGACGTTGCCTTTTATAGCAGCGCGCTGCATTCGCTCTCTTCGTCGCAGCGTTTACTGACTGCGCTCTCTTTGCTGTGCAGACCAGACGCAGGCAAGAGCTTCATGCAACTCTGCGCTCATCTGTCGACTATTGTGAATGAAACGTGCATATACCGCATAAATTAGTGAAATTTTTATGTTTATTTACTTGCATCGCTGCGAGCCAAATACTTTTTTAAGAAGACAGACAAAAGAAGCGAAAGTGTCGCAACTTACACGCGTATGCATAAATTATAAATCGACTACAAATAAAAGCACTTGCGCGCCATTAATTATGCAATAAAAGCAATTTCTCGTTTGCATTTAGCTCGAGGAGCGATGCGCTCCGATTTTCCTTTTTGGATTTAGTGGCTCATATTTTAAGCAGCATGTTTATCAAATTTATGGTATAAGCTATGTGCCTTGCCTTGACTATAGAAGTGCGTACCACCCTGGTGAACAATCTTTTGACGTCAGAACAGGCGAATAAGGCGCCAATTCTGATTCGCTTGTTTTCGTTGTTGTTGACACGTTGATGCGAAGCAAAATAAGAATTAAAAATAGTTTACAAGCGCCGACAAGTTGGACTGATATATCCGCGTGTACCGTCGCTTCCGAGCAATCAAAAAACAAACAAAAAAATAGAAAGGAAAATCAATAATACTTTTGGAGTCCCATTTCGGCTCGCTTCTTAACGGGAAACTATTAAAATGTCGCAAAATTTCGATAAATATATTTGAAACAATTCGCTTTTTTTTCTACTTTGCAGGTCGAAGCGGGCGATGTTATATTGAAGGTCAATGGCATCGACGTGCATCGTCACACTACAAAAGAAGGTAACTTAAGTGTTATCTATAGCTATCTACTTATTAATCTTTAATTTAATTGACAGTGCTTAAATGTTTGCGTCTATCGGAGAACTTAGTAACCTTGGAACTGAAACGAGGCAAGTGACAAGCACAAAAATAGCCCAACAATTGTTTCACTTCTTTTTTTTTGTGACAGATCCCAAGCTCAAGGCGCGCATTAAAGAACAGTTGGCTAATACGCAGAGTCCGCATTACGTGGACATTGAATCTCCCGTCAATATCTACGATTACAGCAGCAGCCCGAACGCTGCCTCTCCCAAGCATCAGCGCCAGCATCAGAAGGGCGGAACCACGCCCACTAATGCTGGTTCGCCAGCATTGCGTTATAAGTCGCCCACGCATTTGCCATCGTTGCGTCAGAATTCGCCAACTACAACAGCGATAACGTCAATTGCCGCAGCGTCCACTACAACCTCAATTTACACGCACAGCCGCAATTCTTCCGCCAGCTCGACCAAGATTCAAATGGTGGAATCCACCACAATTACAACGAGCATTAGCAACAGTAACATTGCCACATCACCCACTGCAGCTGTCAGCGGCGCTACCTCGCCCACGTTTCGCCCTTCACGCATTCCACAGGCGCTGAAAGCCGCCGCCCAAAAGCCAGTGCCACAAGTGCAGTCGCCGCAGCATAAGCGACCGCGCCCCTCCCAAATACCAACGAAAGCGGCTAACGGCAACAGCTTGCAGCCGCTACAGCACTCGAACAGTTACAGCGGGAGTCCAGCTGTTTCCCGGCAACGCCACACGGAACGCGAGCCAGAGCAGGAACCGAACTCGGCACCGCCGCAGCCGGCAAAGGCGCCACGCTTTGAGGCTTATATGATGACCGGTGATTTAATATTGAATCTATCAAGAACTCCCCAATCCAGCAATTTGCTAACGGCTCAAGCCAAGAAGGTAATGCCCAAGGGCAAACCAGAATTTAACCCGGCAAATGGTTCTCGACATCAAGCCCTCCTCATCCGCATCTATTAACATTTTTAATTTGCTTTTAGGTGGACAGTCTGCGGGATTTTCCGAAACGCAATCTGGCGAATGCGCGTGCCAATGGCGCCTTAGCACCGCGTGCCTCCGGCGAGTCTTCGCCCACATCTTCTTCATCGGTGGATTCGCCAACTAATACGGCTAGCTCGGATTCCAATAAACGTGAGGCAAGGCTTCAACGTGGCCAGCAGCAACAGCAGCAGCAACAACAACAGCAGCAGCAGCAACAGGAACGCGACAGCATCAACAACAGCTACAATCGTCGGGATTCGCTGACCAATGACACTTTGTTAATGTGCGAGGAGCTGGAGCGCGATGAGGATGCCACTACGGACTATGGGGACAATAAGCGCCAGCAGCAACGTCAGCAGCAACAGCAACAACAACAGCGCTATCGACAGCAGCAGCATCAGCAGCAACAACAACAACAACAACAGCGCTATGAGTACTACCAAAACGAAGATGAGCTGGAGGCGGATCAGGATGAACGCGAAGAAGATCAAACACATTACGACATCACAAACATCGAAACGTACCAGAGTGGTTTGGGTCGCGGTGACGAGGACGACAGCGATCGCCAGTGTTTGGTTGATGAAGACGATGATGATGACTATGATGAGGAGGACAACGATGCCGGCGATGAGGAATACTCTACAAATTCACTTGGCTCCGGTTCCGGTTCAACCAAGCAGCGTATGCGTATGCTTAAACAGCGTAGCGTGATGCGGCAACAACAGCAACAGCGGAATCGCGATGCCGTTGATTGTGCTGCACGTGTGACCGCTGGCTATTCCGCGTCCACATCCAACTCATCTGGCACGGTTAAAAGCGAGGCGGTTTTGGGCCTGGGTCAGGATGAGACCTCCTTCTCAGTGCCAACATCGCCAATTTCGTTGTCGACGCCTCTAATTGATAAGGAGACGGCCAGCTCGGTGCCCACCAGCCCGGAGCCCAGCTCACTGGCGGCCGAGTCAAGTAATGCTGCCGCTGGCGTTGGGGCCGTTGTGGTGCGTCGCCACAATGGTCACGTGGTGCGCAAGTGTGACGCTGCAGGCTTTCGCACCAGCAAGTCTGAAGATCATCTGCAGCAGGTACAGCGCGAGGGCATTGCGGCTGTGATACCCATTGATATTGATGAGGATGTGAATAGCTCATTGAATACGCTGCTGGATACGCGTCACGATTCAGAAGATTCGCAGGTAAGCGTTGGATCAATGGACCTTGAGTTAGCCCAAGCTAATAACTGTAAATAGCTATAGAGAGGCCTAATATGCAGGCCTAAATATAGCCAAAAATACAACATATAAACAGAAATAGCTGAGAACTTCCAGCCCCAGAACACGCACAGTGTCACATTGCCTGTAGTATATACTCTTTTTAAAGTGATTTTGTAGTGTAATGACTGTTGTGTATAACTAGCTATGGTTGGTTTACTTAATATACTTAGGAATACTTGATCTAACCACGTAGTACTGTTCAAATCCATCATAATATACATATTTAATATGTACCATCCGCTGTATTTTGCATACACAGTAATCCATTATACAAAATGTTCTCTATTACTGTGTAGTCACTTTACTTACTCTCGTTACTTGTTACTCTTTACTATTTACTCGTTACTCGTTACGATTTACGATTTACTTTCCCACTCTACAACAATTAACAACTTCTATCTTGTTTATCTTACTCTTACTTGTGTTTCTTCTTTCTTTCCTTCCTTTCGTTTTCTCTGTTGATTCGTATTTTACCTAAACTTTTTCAATCAATGCTCAAATTCTTGACAAAAAACAAAAAACAAAAAACGCGCTTTCCAGTCAACGACAACATCAACGACAACTGCTTCAACGATTAAGAACAACTCGTCGGCGCTGAACAACAACGAAAGTGAGCCGTGCAACAACAATAACAATAACAATGAGAGCAACGAATTGTCACCAGCAACGGCAACAACAACAACAACAACAGCTACAACAAGCGGCGGCTGCAGCAACAAATTAAACTATATTTTACGCAAAAAGGTTGCCATTTGTTAAGCATGGCATGCTCTGAATTAATGTGACTTACTGCGTTTATCATTTGCAAATTTTGTATGCTTTGTTGCCTGCACTTGTGCCACACGTTTGTATGTAGACAAAACTAACGCTTACTGACACACAGATACTCTTACACATACACACAAACGGCTACACTTGGCAATTATTGAGGGTCCTCTCAGATTGGGCAACGGCATATGGAAATTAAACAAATCGACTATATAATATATATATGCATAAACTATATACATTTTTAGTTTTAAGAAGCATACCACTTGACCTATTTCTAATTAATGCTCTTTCAATGCAGGCATCGAATCGCGATCGCATCGTTTGGACTTACAATGCGCCACTGCAGCCGCATCAGTTGCAGCAGTTGCAGCAGCAGCAACAGCAGCAACAGCAACAACAGCAGCAGCAGCAACAACAGCAGCAGCAGCAATACTACGGTCAGCAATCGCATTCAAATTCACATTCAAGCTCCATTAGCTCATCGCCACAGCATTCGGCAGCCGGCAGTCCGGCGTCGCCCACGTCGGTGTCCTCGTCCGTTATGTCCTCGTCAGGCTCGAAAAGCGCACAGCAGCAGCTACAGCAAAATCAGCTACAGCAACAGCAGCAGCGGGAACAGCCAACTGTTTTTGTGCCGGGTCTGTTGGGCTGCCCTAATGGTGGTGGTGCTAATGGTGCTAATGGTGGTGGTGGTGGTGGTGGTTTTGGCAACGATCAGAGCGTCTCAGAGGCCATATCAAATATCTCTAGTCCCGACTATCAAGACGACGATAACTTATTGAGTTCTCGCGATATTTTAGGCGGCATGGTACTTAGCGATCCCAGCGACTCTGACTCCACCATACTCGTCTCGGATGCGGCAGCCCAGCAGCGCCAACAACAGCAGCAGCTGAAGCAACAGTTGCGCGCCCAGCAACAGCAGCGGGAACGTGATCGAGATCCTTCCGAGCACAAGCTGGTCATTCAGGTGCGCGGCATGGATAATAGCAACACCAGCAATGCAACACGATCTGAAGAGGATGGCACCACACTAACAGAGGAGCCGCTTACAGCGATTGGGGCGCGTGATGGATCGCCGCCCGTTTCGGATGATGGCAGCGATGTTGAGTCACTGCACTCGTATCACTACTCGCCCAAAGCCGTGGATATGCCCTCGGCCATACGCCTGGCCAAAAGACTGTACTGTCTCGATGGTTTCAAGAAGAGCGACGTGTCGCGGCATCTTAGCAAAAAGTTAGTTGCTCTTTTGATATTAATTTGAGGACCAAACGTAATGTCCTGTTCTGTTTGCAGCAACGACTTTAGCCGCGCTGTAGCTGATGAGTATTTAAAGCATTTTAATTTTGAAAAGAAATCTTTGGATCTGGCGCTGCGTGAATTTCTGCAGCAATTCTCGCTATCTGGCGAGACACAGGAGCGTGAACGCGTGCTGGTACATTTCTCGAAGCGTTTCCTGGACTGCAATCCCGGCACATTTAACTCACAGGACGCAGTGCACACTCTAACATGCGCCATTATGCTGCTCAACACAGATCTACATGGTCAAAACATGAATCGCAAGATGAGCTGTGCCGAATTCGTTGACAATTTGGCCGATCTCAACGATGGCGAAAACTTTCCGAAGGATGTGCTCAAGTATTTGTATCAGGCCATCAAAACCAAGCCACTGGAATGGGCTCTGTAAGCAAATGAATAAATTATTTAGCCGCCTATCCCAATTAAAGCTCTGCTCTGCTTTTAGCGATGAAGAAACCGGGGAGCAGCAGCAACAGCAGCGCGCCAATAACAGTACCGCACTGACTGGCGTTAGTCAGAATCCTTTCCTGGATGCACCTGAATCGGCCACGGCGGTGGAGTACAAAAAGGGCTATGTGATGCGCAAGTGCTGCTACGATACTAGTTTCAAGAAGAGTGCGTTTCCAATTATATCCCAATCTAAAAAAATCAAGATAGATTTGATTTCTTTTATAGCACCGTTTGGCAAACGCTCTTGGAAAATGTTTTTTATAACGCTGCGCGATCTTGTTTTATATCTGCACAAGGACGAGCACGGCTTTCGTAAAAGTCAAGTGAGTTGGACAGTGGGTGTAGTCAGTTTCATCTCAACTTAACCCTTTCGTCTGTTTTCCTTTCCAGATGTCCGACAATTTGCATAATGCGATACGCATACATCACGCACTGGCCACCATGGCCAACGACTACACTAAGAAGCAACATGTGTTCCGGCTGCAAACAGCCGATCAGGCCGAGTATCTATTTCAGACCAGCGACTCCAAGGAGCTGCACTCCTGGGTAGAGACCATCAACTATGTGTGCGCAGCGTTTTCGGCGCCACCTCTAGAAGGCGGTGTGGGTAGTCAAAAGCGTTTCCAGCGTCCGCTGTTGCCCAGTGCACAAACAAAACTGTTAATGGTGGGTGAAACGTTTGTATTTTATAATTTGATTTAATTATTCGTTTGTTTAAAAATATCCAGAAGGAGCAGCTTGACTCGCATGAGTTACAAGTTACCCAATTAAAGCATGAACTGAAGGAGCATCAAAAGACGCCTGTGCCCAGCAAAGGTTTGCCGCTGCAGAATCACAAGGAGAAGGAGGCGTACTTGCAATATGAGGTGAGTCCTGACGGCAACAGTTTGGCCGAGCTATCAACTAATGTATTTATTTATCAGCTCCGTCGCTACGAGGCTTATGTAAACATTTTAACCGCCAAACTGCTCACCGATCAGCAGCCATTGGAGCTGCAATGTCAGCAGGCAGCCCCGCCAACGCTTGAGGAGGACGCGGACACATTCCCTGTGGGCACAGGCAGCATGCCCACAACGCCGCAAAGTATTAATACTCATCAGCAGCAGCAGCCACAGCCGTCAACCAACAGCAGGTATAGTCAACAACAGCGCGCCAGGAACTCCTCCTCTAGCGGCAATGCCCAGCACGACATTGGCTGACGCGTAATGGGAGTTTTCTCAGCTTGTGTGGTTTAACGCCCTTTCTTAAAAGTTATATTCTTGTTTATTTGTGTTTTTTACTTTACATTTTTTCTGTGTTGTTACTCTCCTCCGCTTGTGTTGCTTTGTTAATTGTTGTGTTTGTCGGCTAGTCCTCTAACTAACTCAACAAATATTTATGTAAATACAAACCGTCCTGTGTTTTAAAAGTTTTCTTGTTACGCTTTGCCCTATTCGTGTGTCCAAGGCGTATGACCCTATCGATATTATAATTATCAGACCATGCAGAAGCTTTAATCCAAATTAGATCAAAATAAAAACCCAACAAGAATTAATTCAGTCTAAATTGATGCGCGTAGGCATTTAAAACTGTAAGAAGCCTTATCTAATTAGTTAATATAACAATTTGTTTGCTTTTGTAATTAAGTCTGTTTTCTTTAAAGCCACACAACTTACTGTGAAAACTCGTGAATAGAACATTTATTAGGAGTTTAAGAAAGAAAAGTTTCGCCTAGTATAACAAAAAAAAACTGTAACAGAAATAAGATTTTGTAGCACTCGTAGCAAACAACAGTTTTGGCTTTAAACAAAAAATTTAGATGAAAAAAAACACTAATGTGGTTCAAATGTAGTAACGTTTACTGTTTATACCTTGCCTAAACGCATTCTAAATATACATCTAAATCGGTAAAGTCGTTTATAAAGCGAATACATTTTAATGTAACTAGTTGTAGTATGACAATTCAATTAATATAAATAGAGCTCTTTGAGTCGTATGCGCGCGCACATACACAAACACACACACACACACTCATACCCTAATGTTGCTGTTTCAAAAACAATGTAATTTTGGCCTAACTGTTAGACAAACATATTTCACACACTCTCATATACATACAACATAAACAACAACTGATTTATAGAATATATAAGAGTCATGCTAACCATGTGGACAACTCATATGCAAATGCTGCTTGTTTTCAGCATATACCCTGTTCTGTTGCGTTATTTTTCATATCAAGCAAGCAAAATGGCAAAAACCAAAAAGAAGAATTCTTAAATTTTTACAGATGGTTCGATGGCACCTGCTGTTGTCTGGCGCCCTGGCGGCAATTGCTCTCCTATTTCAAAAGCTAAATATAAGAATGCAATTTTTGTCACATTTTTCGATTAGTGAAGCCACAAAAACAACAACAAACCCCTCCACAACAGTAATCACAAGCAACAATTGCACATTGGAGCCAACAACAACAACAACAAGAACAACAATAAAACAACACCAGCAACAAACTGCAAGAACAAGCAATCTATAGAGAATCAGTCCTTAAAAATGGCTCGCCCCAAATGTGAGCAAGTCAAATGCAAAATTTCAATGTTTTAACGTTATTGTAAACTGTCCAGTTTGTATAGTTTGGCTGTATTTATACATATATATATATATATTCTGATTATATTCTTTTTATTTATATTTCAACTATGCATATATATGATTTTTTTTAACTTGTGTATAATTTGTATTAATATCAAATTTGATTTTCACTTGCAGAAAAGAGAAGAAAAAGAAATAATTACGCATTTTCGTTTCGCTATTGATTTTCATCATTTTAACTATACACAAAAAAACACTTTGGCAATTGGTAAGTGCCGCAACCATAAAAATCAAATAGAAAACTTATTCATAAATCTTTAATTTATGCTTATTTCTCTGTTTAATGCAGCCCATGTCAATGATAAAATACTCCAATTGCCACAACACAAAACACCACACACACAACTCGCACACCAATGCATCACTCACATGGAGGGGGACTAGATGATCACTAGATGACAATGAGCAAGGGATTCGGGGAGGGGGGATTAGAGACTAACTAAAAAAAAAAAACACTCGCGCTTTGCGGCTGTGCCGTGCGGCGCCCAAAACAGTCTGCCAATAATACAGAATTAATGTACATTTCTTAAGCTACATAAAACATGATGATGATAATCATGATTGATGATGATGACTATTTGTAATCGCAAGTTGTTAAGGGTCTTTGGATCCTATACACAAAACGTTCGTTCAACGGAGTACTAAAAAGTTCGAAAAACATTTACAGCCCAATTATTTGGTTTTTAAATATGAAATTCAACCCACGTCGGGCTTATAATCTAATATATAGCATGTTAACTATATATCGCATAATGATTGCGGGCACTTTTGCTGAGAGCCTAACCCTGCCAGTCAAGTCCTAACCCCTAGCTTTCACCTAAATTGTTATTAGAAGTCTTAAAGAAACCGCTAAAGCTCCTAACATTACCTTTGTTCTATTATTTGGCAATGGACTCTGCTGAACGGCGATTTGTGCTGTATCCCTGCTTATTCACATCAAGAATACTTATTATTTAAAAAAAAACAAAAACAAAAAACAAAAGAAACTTACATCATTACCTATGCTATCATTATAAATGATAAAAATAAATTATTAAAACACTTTTTCTATATGCAATAACATTAATAACAACAACAGCGAATTATGTCGGAAAGGTTATATATATATATAATTTGCTCGATTGGCCTTTTGCGATAAGTATGTTTCTCCAATATTTTGTACGGTTGCAAATACATATATAAATATATTTATTTATATGACAACAATTGGTTGATTACGCGACAAGTCCACGTAGTTAGAATATGAAATTAAAAGAATCGAGAATGAATCACACATAAGAATTAAAAATAAAACGAAATACAATAACTTTGACTACATACGTATGTGTATTTTTTAATATATATTATATTGTGTAATTATGTAAATGTAAACTGTATAACAATTGTTTATAATTATTTTTAACAATTCTATTGAAACGGCAATAAATTGAAAAATGAAACAAAATATTTGGAAAAAAAAGAATACCCAAAACTTATGCTGCTTATGAAGAATATGTATATATTTTATTTAATCACTGCGCAGAAACAAACCCCATTTGTAAACCAAAATTTCTAGAAAATGAAAACAAAATTTCGTTTAATGAAGGCGCTTGATGAGACAATTAAGTGCTAATTATATAGACATACATATTATTTAGACATACAAGAATGTATGGTTAAGGTAACAACCATTCACATGAAAAGAAATTCATTAAAAACTAAAAAAAAAAACTGCGCCAATCGTGTTTTGGTTTTTACTCGGTTTTCAAAGTAAAGGATGTATCCGTTTCTTGCAGCATGTTTTCCAAACGCAAGCCCAACTGCCGTCGCTGCACGTCCACCTTTAGCACGGAGGCAATTATGCGATCCCCAATGCTAAGATCACAATTATTCATGTGGCTTCTATGTATGAGACCATCGCGTTCCACGCCAATGTCCACGAAGGCGCCAAAGTGCGTTACATTGGTGACTGCGCCTAGTGAAGAGTTTGAGCAGCAGTTATTATTTGTAAGTTATATTATAGTTTATTTTGGATGTAATAACTTACCTGTGACCACATCACCTATGCTGAGCTCATCCAAGCGGGTTAGACCTTGCTTGAACAACGGCCGTTTGTCCAGATCGACGCGGTAATCCTGCAGCAGCTCGCGCTGAAGGGCAAAGAGCACAAACTTTAACTGAAAGCAGCAAGCGGAATTAGAGGACGATCATTAATGATATAGGTACAACCGTGCTTACGCGTTCCATGTGCAGCTTGTGCTGCTCGGCAAGCTGTTCGAGATTGTGCTGCGACTTGCTGAACTCCTTGATGCGCTGCATAAAGCTAGCCTTGCCAATGTCCGAGAGTTTTAACTCACATTCCTGTAAAATGCTGTAAGACCAACGAAATTATTATAGTTTTCAATTTCGTACATATTGCATAGAGGAACATTCTCAAATTCTTGATCAAATATGTCGCCCAAAATGAAGATCAGTGAGCTCAAGAAGTTATACCTAGAGCGGTGGAATTATCCGCCGGCACAAAAGTTGCCCAAGATTCGATTTATTGCTTGTGGCAAAAGTCCCAATTATGGGATCCCGAAGAGTAATATGCCCTGCTGGAAGTCTCCAATGGCCATGACAGCGGATGCACGTTTCGGCCCCTGCTGGGATTATCCGCCGGAACGTTACAGGCGTCGTCCATTGCCGCCGCCATGTCGCGGTGCCACCATTCCAGCTAATTTCCTTATGCCAAGTTTTGATCACTGTCAGACTATTTACACACGTTGCGATTTCCGTCTGGAGCAGTGTGTGCATCAGCAGATACTGCTCATTGAAAAACTATTTGCGAATCTAGAGGGTCAGCTGGCAGAGGCCAAGACGCTGCAAGTAGAGATGGCCAAACAAATGCGTTATCAGTCCATACGCCGTCGCCTGCTGATTGGATCTGCTTGTGGCATAAAGATCTATCCAGAGTACCTAAGCCAGATGGCAGAAACGCGCGCGCTCTGCGAATTTCAAAAGGCCCATAATGCTATCAAGCAATCCAAGTAAACTATGTTATACATTCAAAATGTCATTAGCTTATCTTTGCATTCTGCAGCGCTGAGCTGGCTGCAGCTGTTTTGGTCATACGTGACGCCATGCCTGAGCTGCGTAACCGTTTGGACAAGCTGGACCGCACGGTGGACAGTCCGTATCTAATGAATCTGGAAACTGTGTTGCAAACTATACAAAATCTCTACGATTACTTTTTTGAGGTGGTGCGCAAGTACAAGACCTGGGCACAGCTAATCGATGCCGCCCAGGAGCACTCCATCGATGACTATTTGGCCCTGCTGCGCGATGAACGCGACTTCGAGAGCTTTAAACGCGCTGGTACCGAACACTGCACCTGCAAGCGTTGCCGAAACAAAAATCCACTGGAGCCGTATCTGCCCTGCTGGTGTCAGGGATGCGATCGTCGCAAAAAAGATGTTAAGCTGGTGCTGCATCACACAGAAACTACGGCTCAACTGGAATCTAGCGATAGTGGACATATGGAGAAGCACAGTGACACCTCAATGCAGCAGGCCGAGTTAGACAAGTTAAATGAGGATTTAAATTAGTTTGAAAAATTTGTAAATGTGCCGAATTTACGCATTTCCTTTCTTCTTTCTGGCAAAATGAAAGATACTTTGTGTAACTTACGCTTCCGCCAATTTGTAGCTTTCCGGATGCACCCAGGTGCAGTCGAGCGGATTAGTTATCTTTCCACCTACGCTGAGCGGTTCGATGCGAACGAAACCTGCGCATTGAACAAAAGTCTTTTCTCCTATGCTGCGTACAGCGAGCAGATCCTTGCGCGACTGAAACGGCCCCTTTTTGTTGCGATATTCAATGATCTTCTCGGCTTTCTTCTCAGAGAGGCCAGCAATGTGTCTGCATTATAAAATAATTACGTGAACACATAGATATAGATTACTGGGGTCTATGATACCTACTTTAGCACACTGAGGCTGGCTGTGTTTAGATCCACGCCCACATAGCTTACACACTCGGAGACAACATCGTTGAGTGTTTCTGTAAGCGTTTTCTCGTTCACGTCGTGCTGATACATGCCAACGCCCAAGTGGCGTGGCTCAATCTTCACGTACTCACTTAGCGGATCATTCAGACGACGTGCAATGGACACTAAAACGATTTAAGATTATGAATTTGTCATGGTGGACATTTTTTTGCCCTAAAAACCTGCGCTAATTTCATTCATATCCATCTTGGGAAACTCTTTGCTGGCCACATCGCTGCACGAGTAAATGGAGGCGCCATTCTCATTTACAATACTATAGCGAATGCTGCGACTGTCCAAAATGCCTGCCTGGAAGAGAGATGTCAGCCACATCTCTGTGTCGCGGCAGGCAGTGCCGTTTCCAAGAGCAATAACGCCACAACTATAATATATCAAAAGACAATTTAATGATAAATCACATAATTATACGAAATAAGCGAATTACTTGTATTTGCTAAGAAGCTGCACCAGCTTTTGCTCGGCTTCCTTTCGATTGGCATGTCGTCCATGCGGATAAACGACTCCTGTTTCCAGCACATCGGCTGTCTCCGATATAAGCGCCAGTTTACAGCCATTAATATAGCCGGGATCAATGCCCAATATCCGTTCACCTTTCAACGGCGACATCAGCAACAGTTGCTTTAAATTTTTCCCAAAAACTTCAATGGCTGCCCGGGTAGCCCTTTCCTTAAGTTCGGCCCGTACCTGTCGGCAGAGCAGCGGTTGTACTAGCAAAAAGTTTTCTTATTACAATTGTTGCTTAATGTTGTTCTGTAGCTTACATTTCTTTGTGTAGCACTCTTCCAGTGCGCGATTGAATACCTCCTGACGCAAAGGATACTGTAGACCTTCGGACATGTACTCTTGCGATATAAAACGCATGAGATCATTCTTTAAATAATTGCTAGTCTCCACTTTTACTGACAGAAATTTATGCTTTTCGCCTCGATTAATAGCCAGGGTTTGATGTGGCTTAATTGTCTTTATATCGCATTGAAAATTAAAATAGTTCTCGAATTTGGAACTGTCCATCTTCTTGTCCGCAATGCCACTAGAAGCAGCTTTATTGTCAGCCGCCGCCTTTGAGACTGTCGTCTTTTTAGCTTTGCTGCACTTGAGCACAATACGCTGCACGTTTTGTCTGGCAATTAAAAAATTAAGATTTTAGAGGGTATGTAGATGTGTCCAGCTCTTGTTCTGTTCTTACATCCGTCGTAGTTCCTCCAGAATCCTTGTGTTCTTGCTTATGTTGTGTATAATAATGTTGCATATTCCCACCTTTACCTGCTCCTCTGTGGCCAAGTCCTTGTTGGTCGGGTCAACAACCGAGAATAGATGCACCTTTGGCGCTGTTCCATACAGTAAGGCATCAGCATATTGTTGCAGTCCCAAAGCCTTGGCCCGCTCTGCCAAAGTGCCCTTGCTAGCCGGTTTATAAGGTGCATACAAGAATTCAAGTTCTTCATTGGTCTTAGCGCACATCAGCTCCTCGCGTATTTCCGTATTGAGCACATTCTCGCGCTCCAGCTGATTGACGATGTTCTCTGCCTTCTTGCGCAGATCCACAATCTCAGTGTAAGTGTTTCGTATGTCGCGCAATCGATCAGGTGTTATGTGATCCACCAAATCCCGTCGATAGCTAATGATGGACACATAAATACCATGATATATATATCAAGAAAACCTATATTTAAAATATACCGGCATATAAATGGAATGGTATTCTCATTCTCGAAGAGCTGAACAATGTTCCGTGCCGCTGTGGGTTGGATTTGTTCTGTCTCGGCTAAGAGTTCATGTATGTTCCAGACTTTGCGTCGCTCCCAGAAAGAGCTGCGACCCGTAGAGGTACTAGAAGTGACTGGAATTAGGCTATGTGCGCCTCCATCTAGCTCTGATGCTATTGATAAAGGCTGTTCTACGGCTGCTTCGTTCACATCACTGCTTTGATTGGGAATTGCATTCTCCTTGTCCTTTTTCGCGCGCTTTTTCTTTGCTGGTGCGTCGTCTTTGCAGACACTGCTTTCGGGCTCCGTTTTACGTTTTCTTGTATCCCTAATGTTGATATAAATAGTTAATTTATATTGTTTATCAAATGTTGTTTAAATATGCAAAGGCTTACGAGCCAGATGCTACTAATGCTGCAGCACGATCTATAAAACGACGTCGTGTCTCTGTTGGCCTGTATTCATCATTCTCTTCAGCTCCAGCGGGATCATCTTCCGAGTCGGATATCTCAATAATAACCGATTTTTTAGCTGCCAGACGTCGCGGTCTTGAAGACATGTTAGCTAGACATATAAATAAATCAACAAGCGAGTTTTTATTGCTGCTGACTTTGGTATCGATATTCGATGCGAGCGCACACTTGCAGTTATCGTTACACGAAGTACTCATTTACTCAAATGAGCGCCAAATTAAAGTACGTCAAATTAGCGGCGTTGACTTAGCATCGAGTTTTGGTACTTGGTATCGGAAAAGGAATCGGTCACTTTGAAATGTATTTATTTATGTTGTTAGGCACGAAATAAAAAAAAATGTAAATACAGAAAATAAATTTGTTTTTGAATTTCAGCTTATAATATTAGTAAACCAACGGGTTGAAAGATTAAATTTCCACCATTCCTGAAATATCTTATTTCAGAGATAATGGCCCAGAAAACTTCATAACCACGATTAAAGCCTCTCGTTTCGACTAACCAATCTTGAAAAATTTATAAAAATCGATCAATACGTTCTTAAGATATTTGTAACACAGTGCAGCAACCTCGTTGCTAACCCCAAATAAAATGACCGTAAAAAACTACTCTTGCACTTGAACCCTAATATCTTTTCTTAGGGATAATGACCCTCAATGCACGGTATACCAACTTGAAGATACATGCTTAAGGAAGCTTTACGCAATAATTCCAAACAAATCGATCAGCCGGTTTTTTAGAAAAATAATAAAATCTAAACACACCTTATGTTGATCATTCCACTGCTTGGAATCAGTGTTGAATAACTGTATACAGTATTGAGCGATTTTTCGATTTTCGATACTTTCGATTTTTAATTGCCGGACGATAACAATAGCCAGGTCTGCCAGTTGACAGATTAAAAACATGATGCGGTCGAATATGTTGTCGAAATCATTCCAATCTCTCATTCAATTTTTTATAATATTTTTCGCTGTAAAATTGAATGGCCAGCTCGAATTGGAGCGTTTTTAATAGTCTTTGATTTCAATGAGTTGCTAAAATTTTGCCGCTGGTAGTAGTATTGACAACCCTAAATTATCGGTGTTTTCAATTCTTTCGGAAGAAGAAGAAACGCACATTTTTGTACCCAACCAATCACTGGACCAACAAGAGAACAACATCAAAGAAGTCCGCAATTCCAAGACCATTCAGAACAAAAATATAGAATAACTGTAAATAATTACACACAAACACAATGCCGCAGCCGCCAAAGCAAAACAATCCGACTCAACCAGAGGAGTCGACAGGACCCGAAATGGATGTCAATGCCCAAACCAGCTCAGAGCCCATAGACTTGATCAGCTTTACCACGGTAAGTGTATGCAGCATATATTAACCACGATAACTCCCCTATATCTCGTCTTTCAGGAGGCCTATCGCAATGTTGTAGCTGCCACACGCAACTGTAATGCGTTTCCCCAGGGTGCAGCGCGTTCGCTTTATCTGAGTTACCCGGGCTATGCACGCATGTTGGAGGAGCAGTCACAGCGAGTGCTGGGCCTGATTAACAAGGTTTTAAAGACGGAGAATATTTCAGGGGATATTAAACGGTGCGCAGCAATTTTATTTAGAGATATCCAAACGTAATTTCACAACTTTTTAACACACACACACACATAGGCGTCAGGGCGACGAGCAGCTGGAAATGGTGCAGGAATGTAATGATATTCTATTCGAGCGTATCACCACAAATCTAGACATTATAAGCGGTCTACGACGCGGCAATCCACACATGGTAGTCGAAACCCAAGTCGATGTTCAATCCACATCAAGGCCCGCAACATCAACAATAACAAAAGAAACACCTCGTGCTGGTAGCTGGAATCGCTACAGCACAGCTCCGGGCACACCCTCTCGCAGCATGGTCTCGGCACGTCTGTTTACAGCGCAGAATATTATGCGGCCGCAGATGCAGTTTAAGGTGCCTGTAGACAATAGCGCACAAAACCCTTTTAAGCCTCGTCTTAAGGAGAAACCCAATTCGTTGAAGCCTTTGGCACTACTGCCAGAATATGATGATGCAGGGAACGTAGTGTCTTTTCTCCATCCGTATGAGTTTGAGCTGCTGAAGTTCGAGCCGCCCAAGGAGCAGCTGCAGAAGCAAAAGCCGCTGTTGCCGGCGCCACCAGCCCAAACCGAACTGATGCTAGTGGACAATGTGGAAACACTGAAGCAGGCTCTAGAAGAATTGCGTCAGGCGCCGCAAATAGCTATCGATGTGGAGCATCACTCGTATCGTACATTTATGGGCATCACTTGTCTGGTGCAAATGTCGACGCGCACAAAAGACTATATATTCGATACATTGACGTTGCGCGAGGACATGCACATCCTGAATCTTGTGCTTACCGATCCCAAGGTACTAAAGATATTGCACGGTGGTGATTTAGATATCGAGTGGCTGCAACGCGATCTCTCCCTGTATATTGTTAACATGTTTGATACGCATCGAGCTGCAAAAGCTTTAAATATGGCGCGTCTATCGCTGGCATTTTTACTGAAACATTACCTTGATCTCGATGTGGATAAAAGCCTGCAACTGGCAGACTGGCGTATGCGCCCACTGCCTCAGAAACTGATTGATTATGCGCGCCAGGACACACACTACCTCATCTATGTGTACGAGCGTCTCACAAACGATTTGCTCCAAGCAGAGCAAGGACAACCGCAGGCTTTGCGCATGGTTTATCAGATGAGCACGGAAGTTTGTAAGAAGCGCTACACCAAGCCGCACATTGGTCCAGATTCACATCTGGATTTGGTGCGTAAGACGAAGCGCTCCTTTGACAATCGCCAATTATGTGCACTCCGCGGCATCTTTCTGTGGCGCGATGCGACCGCACGCCAGGAGGATGAGAGCTATGGCTATGTGTTGCCTAATCACATGATGCTTCAGATTGCCGAGAGTTTGCCCCGTGAAATGCAAGGCATATTGGCCTGTTGCAATCCTATTCCGCCACTGGTGCGCCAGCAACTCCACACACTGCATCAGATCGTGCTACGTGCGCGCGAACAACCACTTGTTAAAGTAAGTCTTCCAGTTCTAATCCTCCCGAAAGTGGCGTCGCTGCATGCCCATGAAAGTCTGCCATTCACTTTACCCCATCCTTCTGTATTCTTTGACTATTTGCAGCCCCTATTAGAGGCCTCCAACATCACTGGATCCGTTCTTTTACAAACAACGAACAAGGATTATAACAGCAAACTGAACTGTCCGCATGACTTTTCGCACCAGGAGGAGACACGCGATGATTTGCCCACACTTCTTGGGCGAAACGGGTCGGGCAAATTACAGCGTCCTAGCAAACCGAAACTTGAAGCACCTTCGGTGCCCTTGGTTGCGCCGACTCTCTCCTTGTTCAAAAGACAAACGGCATCAACACAAGAGGAGCAGTTGCGTTGGTTGTGCGCTCGCAAGGAGAGTCAGACATTGCGTATGCCTTACAAGCGCTACATGGCTATTTTGCCGCTTATGCAACAGCAGAAAATAGAGCAGACCGCTAAGGAGAACAATGAGCTGCTGAAGCGACGCCTGTGCCCCGCAGAGCCTGCGCCAGTAAACATCAAGTTGGAAAGCACTACAAAAGTAGATGAGGATCCCATATATAAATTACCACTGAAAGAACAGCTGAAACGTAAACATCAGCCTACAGCGGAACAACCCAGCTTGGCTAAACGCAATAAAAATGAAGAGAAGCCCAGTGCGTCCGTGTCAGGCCCAAAACCAAAAATTAAGAGTGAGCCAATGCCTGCCATTGACCAAACCCCAAACGGAGAGGATAGTGACGATGATGCAGTGATCGAAGTGCCCATCGAGAAGAGTGCTACGGAAAATCCCACTCCTGCTCTAAGTAGGCGCCAGCAGAAACGCCAAGAGAAAAATAAGCGTTTTAAGGCCAAAGCACGCATGCAGGCACAGAGCTCCAATAAACCCGTGCAGCTGCCTACCAATACCGCAACGGCACAAAACTTTGACTATAAAAATGTGGACTTTCGACAATTTCAAGGCGGCGCTAAACGTGCACAGAGCACAGAGATCAAATCTCAAATGCGCGGCAAGGTAGGTTTTAAATGATTGTAAACTAAAATAAAAATTTGTATTCATTTTGTTTGATCTATTGCAGAGTCGACACAACAATCGCAACAATAAACAGTTTAATAAACTGTTTACTTTCAGCAAAATTAATAAAGAGCGAAAAAAGTAAATGAGAGAAATGTTAACATTTCGACCCGATCATCAGACCGACATATGTAGTAAAGGAAACTACACTCAGAGAATATTTAGTTTTGTTTTTCTTTCAATTTGTATTCTGTTTATACTAGGCAACAATCTTAACTATAAATAAAACTAATAGTTACAATGAAGTGTGACAAGAAATTAAACAATATTGTGCATATAAACTATTATTTCAATTGGTCTGGAGAAGTAGTCGATACATAATCAATCTCTAGATATTTTCAGAACTCGTTCACTGTCATAATCTATGATTGATGCGCATATTTTGGCACTTGATTTGGCAAGCTGCTTACTAAAACTAATAACAACCTAGGCCTTATCTAATAGGTACTAGAACTAGAGCGTTTTAAACATCTTGTCACCCTCCTTATCCATGCAGTACTCCACAACAGCAAATACAACAAGTAATCTTCGTTCAACGCCACGTTTGTGCTTGTCTGTGATGAGCGGATAGAGAGCATCCTGTTTGGATAGGCGATCAACTATTTCGGTTAGTACGCCGCCGGAAAATACCTGCAAGCGATCCCAGGTGGATTTACGTATGCTTAAAAAAATAAAAACAAATACCCACTTAGACAATAAGCTCAAGGATTACCCAGTTATAACTTACAGACAGCACTGATAGAGCGGTGCCAGAATATCCAGATGATCCTTATAGGGATTACCAAATGACTTGCCGTTGTCGATGAGCACTACGCGCTCCTCCCGTGTTTCATAATGATGACGATCCCCATTCTGTATGAGATAGTCGAAAATGGCCACATCTATGAGGTCCAGCAGGCGAATAGTTTCCATTTTGTTTTTGAGCGCTCTGCAAATTACAAATAAGTTGAACTAGAATCGATATTAACTCGATGAGTCTCTGCCTACTTGCAGTAGGTCATGTCATCCTCCCAGACGGCACGTTTATCCTCCTTGTAGGTGCGCTGCCAGGGCGAGCGGCGTTTAGCTAACGTACCAGGCACGATGTAAATGATGACGCCTTCAATGTTATGCTGCTCATCGCCGCAGATGGTCTCCTCCTCGTTGCAATAGTGGCATTTGCCATACAAACAATATGTCTCTTTGCCCTCATCGTCCACTTCAATTTTAATTGTATTCTGTAGCTCTTGATCGCCATGTGCATAGATCTCATCCTTGAGATTCACCACACGACCCACTACAATAGGCGTCCAGCGTAGATCCAATACAGCGCCCAAATAGAATGCATACACTTCTGCCACATGACGATCTTTTCCACTGTAAACGACTCCCTCGATCACAATGTCGCGCGGATACCATTGTGGCTTGAAGATCACCTTCTGTTGCTGGCTGAGACGCAACAGCAGCTTCAGCTGTGTGCCGCGTGCCAGGTTGCTGGCTCGTGTTATGGGCTCCTCCCGCAGCGTTTTCAGCAGCTGACCCATGGAGGAGTCATACAATGGATATATCTCGTTTTCGTGCGGCCACTACAAGCAATTAAAAAGACTTGAGTAACTCTAAATATTAGTATATAAAGAGCAAACTCACCCAATTGGCAATTTCCCAGAGGACGCTGGCATTCTCGTATGCTGACTGTTTGTAGTTCTTCAGCAGTTTGTTGCGAAACATAAAAAAGCGCGGATTGCGATTCAGATAGGCCGGCTTCAGGTGGCGTATCTTGTGCCGGATCATGTTCTCCAGGGCACGCACGCTCGCCAGCTGCCCCTCCTCGGCATTGAGGTAGTACATGAAGTAGAAGTTGGCGCCGAGACCAATGCACAGCAGCGTGGCAATGATGCACAAAATGATGATGCCGCGTTTGTTCATCTTCTAAACGGGATTCCTAGTCGATTAGCTGCACTCTGGGCGGGGCGACCAGGTGATGTGCTCTTGCCTTTTCGCTGGGCGCTCGTACTTTATTTTTAATATTGCCTATATGTAACGAAGAGCTAGCAAATTGCTCAATTGTAGCAAATAATTTGTTGCTGCCTTTGTTGCCACTGGGCTGTTTATGTTGCTGTTGCATGCTTCGTTCTTTTCTTTTTAATTTTCTTTTTGTTTTGTTTTTTGGCAGACATTGGCAACAACTGTTCGCATCAGTCCATTGTTGTTGCTCTAATTAATTAATGACATGCCGCAAATTGTTGTTTTATATCTTAATTATATGTCAGCAAGTTGGTCGACTTCGAATCATGGTATGCGAATGTTTTCCTTTTAGTTATCCAAATAGAATCCTGGAGACCTGAACTACGGCCTCATGGCATAGGTTCAAGTCTGTGCAGGTGCGTTACTCAAGAAAAGAAGTAGCACGTGACGTCACCATTGCCGTTTGACAGCGATCCTAAACGCGCCCAATGATCTTAACAATTTGTATACACACACTCGCTGTTCTCTGCAGGCAACTAGCGAACTCATTTTAATATTGCCTGACGCTTTCACGCAGTTGTAAATCAATGCCAAAATATATGCCGCTGTTCTTTTAAATTATTTGTTTGGCCCCGGCACATGCGAATGCCGCTTTCAACGCTGCCCCATTTGTTTACATGTGTGCACACACATATGTGTGTTTACAGATCTAACATGTTTATAAATACGGTCACACCATAGTCTGTTCGGCAGCTAGGCGCAAATGTGGCTTAACAGAAAATTTGCTTATATTAACATTTGTAACCTGTTATTAACAGCAATCAAAACTATACTTCTTGTACTTTGTATAAGCGAATAGTTAAAATAATAATCTTCAATGCGAACAATTATTGCTAAATATTTCAACAGCTCAAAATTCTTTCAAATGCCTTAACATATGTAAGTTGGAATTTCATAAAGTAACAGTTGGTAATAGCATAAACATTCGCTGTTCTCTTCTGTTTGTGTGCATCTGGCAATGCCACCTATTTAAGCTTAACGGAAAGCCTTAAATTTGTTGTTTTGAAACTATGTCAGTTGCCTTGTAAAATTTGTGACGTTAAGTTTTCAACCAAACATTTAGATAACTTTTTTAGCTAGAGTTCCGTGGCAGTTGGGAAAGATGGCAAGCGTCACATGTATGTGCAGCTCAAAAAAGGAAGCGCGTGTGCATGTCATCTACACCGGAGGTTCTATTGGCATGCTACGCAATGATGCGGGCGGTATGTGACAAAATTATAATTGCTGCAAATTTAAAGAAAACAAACAAATTTTTAGTCTTGATGACCATCAAAAATGAGTTATTCAACCGACTGCGCGAATATCCCTACTGCCACGATAAAACCTACGAGCAGTCCAACGAAAATGGAGATCAGTGGCTGGTGTTGCCATCAGTTGAAGGCGAATTGCGTGTGCTGTATGATATAGATGAATATACGTCGATAACGGACTCCTGCTGCATGAACACGAAGGACTGGCAACGCATAGCCAACGACGTGGGCGTACGCATTAACCCAATTCCAACCCAAAGCTCAACTAAAGCGCACTTTTATTTGCAGGACGCCTACCACCGATATGATGGTTTCGTTATACTGCATGGGACTGACACCATGGCCTATACGGCCTCTGCGCTGGCTTTTTTGCTGGAGAATTTGGGTAAGCCCGTTGTGGTTACGGGCGCCCAGTTACCCATCTTCGACATACGAACAGATGGACGGGACAACTTTATTGGGTCGTTGCTGCTGGCGGGCAACTATAACATTCCCGAGGTGTTGATCGTTTTTGGTGGTCGGGTGTTGCGTGGCTGCCGCAGCACAAAGGCTAACCCGGACTCATTTCATGCATTCGAATCGCCCAATCATCCGTTTCTCGGAACAATTGCCGCAAATATCGAAATTAATGGCCGCAAAATATTTAGATCCTGTAATCTGGGCACCTTCTCGCTGCACACAGAGTTGGAGACGAATGTGGGATTGCTGCGCATCTATCCAGGCATCAATGCAGCGGTAGTGCGAGCCTTCCTCAGCGAGCCCATGAAGGGCGTTGTTATACAGAGCTTTGGCGTCGGTAATTTACCCAGCAACGATGACGAGCTCATGGATGAGATTTGCAAGGCCATCAAGCGTGGAGTCCTGATTGTTAATATATCGCAATGTCCAAAGGGCTCAGTTTCTCCCATTAACGTGGCGGGCACTTGGATGGAAACGGGCGTGATCTCGGGCTGTGATATGACACAGGAGGCTGCGTTAACAAAGTTAGCCTATGTGCTGGGCAAAAGGGAATGGGACTTTTGCAATAAAAAAAAAATGATGGAGGTAAGCTTGCGCGGCGAGATGACCACCAACAAAGTGGCAAAAATAAACGATATTGACTTCATTGAGGGCGTGGCACGCACATTGCATTTATCCATGTCCAACGAGCGGCATCAAATGTGCTCCATATTCTTTCCGGCACTTGTCGAGGCAGCCGTCAGGGAAGACGATGTGGTTAAGTTAAAAAATCTGCGACAATACGGTGCCAACCTCAGCGATACCAATACCGAGGGACGTACTGCACTGCATCTGGCCTGTTTTCTGGGAAAACTAGACAGCGTCAAGTGCCTGCTGGCAGAGGGTTGTCCCGTGGACCTGACCGATCGATTCAATCGGACGCCACTGCACGAAGCCATCGATTCGGATAATCATGAGATTATTCAATTATTGCTAAAGAAGGGCGCCGTGCTGCCGGAAGAATCAGTGGAGTTGGCAGAGCAATTGCGCGCCCTGACCGAGCATGACCGAATCGAACGTCTAGAGTCCTATCGCTTGGCGGGCGCAAATCTAGATGTAGTCGATGGCACCGGTCGATCAGCGCTTCATCATGCCTGCCAGCTAGGCAAAACAGACGTGGTAAGGTATCTGTTGCCCTTTTATGAGAATCCCAGTATTAAGGACTCGCTCGGCCTGGGGCCTATACAATATGCCAAGGTAGGCAATCATTGTGACATTGTGGCCATGTTATGTGCAAGCAAACAGAATTAAATTCCATGTATTAAAAGTCGAATAATTAAATGGCCAAATACGGCAACTTGATTGGATTTGTACAGAGCATTTCCTAAAAAAAATGGTGTCTGTTCCTTGCGCAGTTCGAACCAACTCCCTGCCTTTGGGCTCACTTTCTATAGCTGGTAACTACATCAGGTAGTCTTATATTTTCAAAAATTGTATGAAATTCCTCCTAAACAAGGTTAAATGCTATGATGCTTTTTGGCAACTGGTTCATCATAAAAATCAAATTGGAATTCCGGTTTGTCGAACCGGTTAGGCTCAAAACTGGTTTACACTTTTGGTAAAAAGATATTTGTTTTTCTTTTGTTTTCTTTTATGTGAAATAATTTCAAATATAATTTTAGCTTATACCTGGTATATGTATAATTAGTTTGTTGTCTGTGAGTCCAAGTCAATGGCGACGACAACGACGACGACGATGACGACGACGATGCGTAGGTAACACATTAAAATTCATTTCTACATAATATAGGTGTGGTGTTTGTGTGTGGTGTGTGTGTGTGTGTGTGTGTGCGTGTGTGTCTGAGTGTGTGCATGTTTTACAATTCAAAATTGTCGTTGCTTTTGCTTACATCGAAATTCAAATACATGTGTGTGTATATAATAGTATGCACAACGCTATTATTATTTTATGTTTTGTGTTTTGTTAGTTAATACGCTTATATACTTGAAATATGTGTGTGTGTGTGTTTGCGATTGTATGTGTTTGTGTGTGTGTGTTTTTGTTTTTGCCTAAATTTAGATAAGTAAAGTATGTATGTATAGCATATATGTATTTTATGTATATGATTTGTTTTTTTTTCATCTTTTTTTTTTTGTTTGTTAAATTTAAATTGTTCTTCAATTATTCATATTTGTGTTATGTAAAAACAAGCGAATCGCAAATTGTAACATAAATAAACATATTGGCAACATATAAAAAAAATTAATAGAAAAACAAAACTAGTTAGGTTCTTAATAAGAAAAAAAATTTTAAACGCACAAATTATTTGCAATAAAAAACTCATCTACGCTGCGCATATGTATAAAATATAAAAAAACTAGTTGCTTTGTATTGCTACAAAACATACGCGATATTTGTGTATATATATATATATATATATATACTCATGTATAATGCTACTTAGTATTAACGTTTATAGGTAAAATAATGAGTTTGCATTATTCGAATACTCTGAATACTTCCCGCAAACCGAAACAGTACTGTTTTATGTTGAAGCTTAAGTGGCTAAAATGACACAAATATATTCGTTATGCTTTACGCTATAAATTTGACATTTAGACATGAAATATTGCTCATTATTTTTGATGCTTATTAAACGCTTTTGATTCTGTAAACTGTATTTATGTATAGTTAGTTATATAAATGTATACATATATCTATATATTTGTATGCTTGTTAGTTTTGTTGCTAAAGCAAAAAGCGGCTGCTGTTCGTTCATCTAACATGTTATTAATACTTAAAATTGCTTTTCGAATTGTTGTTGTAGTGGTTTTGTCGTTTGTCAACGGCTTAAAATACATTTCATTTCGCTTTAGTTTTTAGTTTAAATTGGAATTTCCAAAAAAAAAAAACTCTACTTAGCTACATTACAAAATCGATTTCTTCACTGGGTTTTTAGGTTTCTTATATCATTGTTTATCAGCCCTAAATCATATGCTCGTTTCTTCGTTTAATCAAGTTTCTCGTTTCTCGTACAAAAAGAAATGCAATATTTTGAAATTGTATTTTGTTTCGTTGTGACAGTTTGTGTGGGATATTGGGAGAAGCGAAGCATTTCCATAAATTGTATTTTGAATTAGTTTAAACTAAATTGCACATTGAGTTAAATTTTGAACGCAGATTAATTATTATTTATATACAATCAATTGTATTATTGTGAGCGAGTGTGTTTCAGTGAATATGTACAGCAACACGTGTGTGGGAGTTGTTTTTTGTTTTTTTTTTTTACCGAGCGCGTCTTAAAGTCTAAACAGTTGAGAGCTTGTAAGCTTAATTGAAAACATAAAATACCATTAGTGTGTTTTTGCTGACGATGACGATGTTGCTGCTGCCGATGCCCTAGTTAACCATCAGTGTGTGCGATTCCATGGGTGCTGCCGAGTCATAGAGCGTGTCCGTGTCCTGCGTGGGCTCGCCCTGCAGCTGACACTGATTGGACAGGGTGCCGGCACCGCAGTCACAAAAGAAACTACACAAATAAACAACAGGCAATTAAATGATGTATGGTACATATATAATTCAATAAATGTCTCACCGATCGTGTCGTATAAATTCAACATCATGTCCTGCATGACAATTCTTTATGCAATTCACGCATATAGCATTCCGATCCGTTGTATTGCAAGTCTGGCAGCGATAAAAGTCATGCATGGGAAAGGATGTATAGCTGCTTATCTTATACAGGCACTGGCCGCTGGATACGGCCTTCTCCACCTCATCCTCGTTGTTGAATATGTTATTGCCGCGCGTAATTGGCTGCACACCGCTGGCCAGGCACAGGCCACCGAATTTATTCTTGAATATTTGATTGTGCTCTAGCGTAGCTGTTGCGTTATTGGTTATCTCTACGCCAGCCGCTTGTCCGTCATAGATTCGATTGCGTCGCAGTATCGGATGCGATTGCGTTGAGATCAGGACGCCCGCCTGCGTATTACGAAATATGTCGTTCTCCTCGAGTATACCCTTGCCGCCATTGAATATGCATATGCCGCCATCGCGTCCATCGTAGATCTTGTTCCGTTTGAGCGTGGGATTCGAGTCGGTTTTTATCCATACGCCGGCCATGGCATTGTCAAAAATCTCATTCTGCTCGAGCAGACCCAGTCCGCCATTGTAGACCAGCACGCCGCCATTCTGGCCGCCCCAGATCTTGTTGCCACGTATCACCGGATTGCTGCCAGTGCGTATCTGCACACCCGAATACAGATGGTTAAAGATGTCGTTATCCTCCAGCTTGCCATGCCCATTATCATAGAAATAGACGCCCACTTGCTTGCCGGAGTGAATGCGATTACGTCGCAGCACTGGCGTGCTGCCCGTTGTTATCCACACGCCAGCCAATGTATTGGAGTAAACCTCATTCTCCTCAATCAGACCCTGACCCTTCTCGTGCACATAAATGCCGCCATGCTGGCCATGATGAATCTTGTTGTGCCGCACAATCGGATCGCTGTTCGTCCGTATCTGAATACCAGCCAATGCATTCCCATAGATGTTGTTGTGCTCAATGAGGCCGCGACCCTCGCCGAAGATATAGACGCCACCCTGATGACCATTATAGATTTCGTTCTTGCGTATGGTGGGATTGCTGTTCGATGTTATCCACACGCCTGTATATAAAAAATAATTGATTAGATAGCCAAACTTAAGCTTCGTACTAAAGTTAAGTCTAGAGCTCCTAAATTAATGCTATATTTCCATGTATCTCAATGTGTTCTTTATAAATCTTTTAGTTTCTGTAGCCCAACTATCGCTAGTTATAAGGCTTTCACCTGTATTTTGATCGTATATTATTTGTATATTTACCTGCAAAATTATTCGAGTGTATTCGATTTTCAATAAACTGTCCCAGTCCATTCTCATGCACATAGATGCCTCCCGTCTGTCCATGATGTATCTCACATTTGACCACCGTGGGATTGGCGCCAGCCTTGACCTCAAAACCGGCAATGCGATTGTTGTGTATATCGTTCTTCTCAAAATAGCCCTGAAATGATAGCAATCAATGTAGTTACGACCATGACCGAACCTATTTTCAGGTGTAGCTTAAAGTTAGGTTGCGGCATAAGATGAGAGTTAGGTAGCAAGCTGTAGACTAAATATAAAGCTTGGCATATGACCATGACTGAGACTTGCTTGAGTTGAAACACCCTGTTACCTGGTACCTTAATACCCTGTTAAATTAAATTGAAAATGGGTAACAGGTTAGAGACATGAAATCAGATTTTATCAATATTCTCTGCATAGGTTTTGGGACATGAAGTTTTCGGCAAAGGTCCAAGAATTTCAGAGCTCAACTTGGTATGTAGGTGCTCGTACGTACATTTTACTTTTCGAGACCCCTTCTCAGCATTTCCCCCACCAAAATTGAAAAACTGGCGGAAGTGCGCAGTAAATGGGGTGCCTGCTCGTGTGTGTGTACATATTTGTGTGTTTGCATATAGATAAATATAGAAATATTCATGCTTACAATGCCAGCTCGGCAATAGGATGTGGGTATCCTCTAGTCGAGCACTTCCGACTGAGCACTTTTCGTTAGCATAACTCATATAAAATATTATAATCATTTAGCACTTACCATGCCATTCTCAAAGGTGAATATGCCCACATCGCGGCCATGATGTATGTGATTCTCACGCATTATGGGGCTGGCGAAGTTCTTCACCCAAATGCCGGCCAAGGCATTGCGGCTGATCTCGTTGTGCTCGTAGGTGCCCTGGGCATAGTCCGTCACGTAGAGGCCGACATTCTCGCAGTCGCTGATGTCACAGTTGCGTATGACGGGATTGGCACTGACGCCACCAACGCAGACAGCGGCACCGACCACAGACGTGGAGCGTATGATGCAGTTGTCCACCGTTGGCGAGCAGTTCTCACCGATGTCCAGGCAGTAGTGCTTGTGATGCGACACCGTGGACGTGACCTCAGGGGAAAATTTGAGCGTCAGATAGCCTACATAGGCGTATTTGGCGCCCTCCACAAACATCACAGTGGAGCCGGCCTCTCGTTCGAGCACCACAGATTCGGCCACGTTGCCGGGCGCCGCCCCTACGAGTGCCACGTCGGAGTCAATAAATAGATATTCTCCTTTGTAGTGGCCGGCATGCAGGAAGATCAGTGGACCTGGATGCTCCGCTGGCGGCACATTCTCCTCGTATATGTTGGCCAGGGCATTGACGCTGGCGGTTCCTCCGCTGCCGGCGCTACTGGTGTTTGAAAGACCAGCATTGAGATTACCAGCGCCAGCGCCGGCATTGGAGCCCGAGGCAAAGGCTGCAGCGGCACGCTCCTCGGGATAATCAAGAGCTGCTTGTATGGTATTAAAGAAGACAATGCTGCGACCCGGTTGCCGTCTGTCCTGATGGCCAGGACGAACATGAACGCCACGATAGAGCTGACGGAAGCTCTCCTTCCAGGGATTGGCAAATTCAGATTCCTCAGGCTTCTCAAAGACAAATTTACACAGCTCCGGATTAAACAGCGGTAAATCGTACTCGAAGACAGACTGATAGAGACGCTTCCACAATTCCGTGTCGTTGGCAATGGTATTGAATCGTTTGCACACCAGTGCCAGTCGGCATAGATCCTGTTCCAGCAGGTAAGAGAAAATGGCCAGAAGCACCTCATCTGCCAATTCATACTGCAGATATTGGGCGGCCGTGGGTCCACCTCCGCTCGCTGCACTACCGCCACTGCCCGCTTCCATGCTGGGCATTGCCGCCGTGTCGGCCTCCCCGCTCTGCGTGTAAAGGCGTCGCGACCGTTTGCGTGCCGGCAACATATAATTATTCTCCTCAATGACCGCTGCTGCACCGCCCACTGGAAGCGCACCGCAATGTTGCTGCTGCGGCACAGAACTATGCACATTCGGCGGCTGGGCAAGCGTTGCACCTGTTGTGGGCGCATTGTTTACGGGAAAGGTGGCGCTGGTTGATGGTGCCTGCACAATGGCCGATGGCGATGACGACGACGAGGCTGATGACGAGCTTGAAGCTGAAGAGCTGCTGGCAGGTGATGTGCTAGGATTTAATAGAGGTGGCGAACTGCTGGCTGGACCAACCATTATGGCCATCGATTGGCCAGCGCTGGTGCCTGTGGAGCACCATTGGTCGTGGTTGTTCACAGCGGATATCTTGCGACGCAGATCATATGGCGACTGATGGCAGGAGGAGACGCTGCTATTCTGACTGGCAGCCGATGTGCTGGGAAAGTTTGAGTTGCAGGTGAGGCTGTTGCTGCTGCTGTTGCTTGGACCGGCGGCCGACGAGGTGCTGGCCAGAGCAGAGTTGCCGTCGGAGGTGTCCATAATCTGCACAGCATTGTAGATATTACTCATGCTCTGATTTTGATTGAGACCAGCGGAGGGTCCGGTTGCACCATTGCTGCTGCTGCCCCCAGCGGCACTACTCGTCGACTGGCCGCTGTCGAAGTACTCCGTGGAGTTGCCGCTGCCAGGAGCTGCATTATTGTTATTGCTATTGCTATTGTTTGAGCTATTGCTACTTCCAGCTGCTGATGCTGCCACGGAGGCTGTGCTTGTGGTTGCGGCACTGTTTTGCTGGGCATGCACAGACTGCTGCAGCATTGGATCCATTATATTGCCAGTGGGGCGATTTGGCATGGCAATTCGATTGGCTCCTTTTCGTCTGGAGCGGCGCACATAGGTGCGCGATGATGTGAACGAGGCGCTGGGCATTTTTTTAAATTGAAATTCTTGGTCCGGGAGGAGTGCGGGGGAAAAGTCTTGTGGCGTTTAACACTTTTCACAATTTACCAACCCCAAACCCAATTCCACACTCACTCACACTTGCAAACGCGCACACACACACACAGATGCACATGCACAGACACAGACACAGCCAGAGAAACAGTTTTATTAGCCGATGACAACGGATTTTCTCCTTTCACTTGCAGTTCGCATGCATTGCTGCAAACTAAGCACTCTGTTCACAGTTAGTTTTTGTTCAATCTGATTTATAAAAATAGGAGTTTATAGTCGTGCATTTGTTATTAACTTTATTGTCGTTAATCGGCCAGTTTTTTGCCTGCTTCATCATCTGCTTTTCTTCCTATTGTATGTATTGGTGTGCGTGTGTGTGTGCGGAGTTTTTCGGGGTTTCTATCCTTTGTTTCTCATTTGTTTTGTTTTATTTGGAAAGAAGAGTTGCACTAGCTATCACACTGGCGCCTGCTGTTTCGCTCGCTCATTGTTTCTTTTGTTTGCTCTTTGTGCCTTGCTTCGTATTGGCAGCTGAAAATTTCATAAAGTTTTTTTCCTTATTTTCACACACTTTTTCATCAGTTGCACTTTTGATTAGTTTTCTGGCAACTTTGTTGCCATATGTGATTGCAAATCCGCACGATTAGCAAAATTTATTAATTTGCAAACCAAGCAGGTACGACAGAAACGAGCACGACAGGCCTGCAGTTCAGCCTACGATGACTTTTCGATAGCTCTGCGGTCAATAAGCCATCGATAGACATTACAGAACAGAGTTGTATTTCCGTCGCTAGTTGAAGAGCCCTGCGTTACATCGATAAAATCATTGAATACAGTTCTTTACATTACTATTCCCGCCACTTCGGGCATCACTCACCTTGGAATTGCGCCGCCTTTGTGAAATTCACCAATAATTAATTTTTGGCAAAAAATCAGTTTTGTTTAAAGCTTATAATGGCACCGATTGCAAGTCTTAGCACAGGCGTCATTGCGGTAAATATTTATAGATTCTTTGTGTTGTAAGACGCAATAATTGATTTGCCGTTGCTTGCAGCGCATTATGAATGGCGAGGATGTGTCGCAGCCGGTGCTGCAAATTTTGGGCATCAAGCGAATTAATACCAATTCGGATCAGGAACGTTATCGGCTGCTTATGTCTGATGGCAAATATTACAATAGCTATGCCATGTTAGCAAGCCAATTGAATGAAATGCAGAACAGGGGACTGCTCAATGAGAACACCATTGTGCGTCTGGATAAATACATGACCTCCATGGTGGGCAAAGAAGGCTCCGGGAAGTAAGTTGTATTTTTAATTTTGGATGATAATGTTAGGCTTATCATGTGTTCCTCTTAGACGTGTGCTCATTGTTACCGAGCTGACTGTGCTTAACTCGGGCGATGAAGTAAAATCCAAAATAGGTGACCCTGTTACCTACGAGAATGCGGCCAAACAGGACACCGCTCCAAAGCCAGCTGCCGTTGCGGCAAGTGTGCCAGTGAAAAAGGAACAGTCATACAACAACAACAACAATAATAATAACCACACAATGAATAGCACGTTGAACGGAACACTGAACTCCAGCCTCACACATCCCATTTCCAGTCTGAGTCCGTATCAGAACAAATGGGTTATCAAGGCACGCGTTACTTCGAAGACGGCCATACGGACCTGGAGTAATGCGCGCGGCGAGGGCAAACTTTTTAGCATGGATTTAATGGACGAATCCGGCGAAATTCGTGCCACTGCCTTTAAAGAGCAGTGTGATAAGTTCTATGATCTTATCGAGGTGGACAATGTCTATTTCTTTTCCAAGTGCCAGCTTAAGCCGGCCAACAAGCAGTATTCACAGCTGAAAAATGACTACGAGATGACTTTCACCAACGAGACAATGGTGCAGCCATGCGATGATGAGGACAATGGCGGCATACCCGAAATTAAGTTCGATCTGGTGCCCATTTCGCAAGTGGCAAACATGGAAAACAAGGAGGCCGTTGATACAATTGGCATTTGCAAGGACGTGGGCGAACTGCAGACCTTTACTTCGCGTACGACCAATAAGGAGTTTAAAAAACGCGAACTTACTTTGGTGGACATGAGCAATGCTGCTGTCACTCTTACGCTATGGGGCGATGAAGCCGTCAATTTCGATGGACATGTGCAGCCAGTCATCCTGGTCAAGGGTTCGCGCATCAATGAATTCAATGGCGGCAAAAGTCTCAGCATGGGCGGTGGCTCCATTCTTAAAATTAATCCGGATATACCGGAGGCGCATAAGCTGCGCGGCTGGTTTGACAACGGTGGCGGTGATAATATAAGCAATATGGTCTCCGCTCGCACTGGCGGTGGAAGCTTCAGTACTGACTGGGTAACGCTCAAGGATGCTCGCCTGCGCAATCTTGGGTCAGGTGACAAACCGGACTACTTCCAATGCAAGGCAGTTGTGCACATTGTTAAACAGGAGAATGCCTTCTACAAGGCGTGCCCGCAAGCGGATTGCAACAAAAAGGTTGTCGATGAGGGCAATGGCCAGTACCGCTGCGAGCGCTGCAATGCAGCATTTCCCAACTTCAAGTATCGCTTGCTGATTAATGTGAGTGCCCTATTCTATATATATATATATATATATATATATATATATATAGCTTAATTCAACGTTTTAATATTAAATATTTTGGGTTACAGATGAGCATTGGCGATTGGACATCGAACCGCTGGGTGACCTGTTTCAGCGAGACGGGCGAACAGCTGCTCAAGCACAACGCTCAGGAAGTTGGTGAGGCTTTGGAGAACGATCCAGCTGCCGCTGAGAAAATGTTTGCCGACATTAATTTCTCATCATACATTTTCAAATTGCGCTGCAAAAATGAAATGTACGGCGACATGACGCGCAACAAGCTAACTGTTCAATCGATGAGCCCCATCAATTACAAGGAATACAACAAGCATCTAATCAAAGAGCTCAAGGAAATGACAGGCATTGGACCTGCCCATTAGATCCTTCCCACGTGCTGCGCACATACCCAAACATTAGCGATAAGTTGATTAATTAAGCTTAATTATTATACATACCGAATATGATTGGAAATATATTAATGAAACTAAATACATATATCGTCTTTTTTTTTATTTTAGGACCTTACCAAACTGTTTTATCTTTCTCCGTGGTAAAATTAGAAGCTCTGCGCGCTGAAAAGTGTATTCATGTGTAAATGATTGATATTTTATTGATTTCTAGTAAATTCATATTTTTTTATACTCTATATGCGCGTTTGAAGGAGTACATTGGGTATATGTATATAGGTATATATATCAAAAGATTTCATTGTTGTTGACTAGCATGCTTTTCAACTATTAAAATTGTTGAATTTGTTATTTTCTTTAGTTGTCTTTATAAATATGAGTATATGCACTGATAATTCTTACGTTAATAGAGGGACTTTATGCTTATATATTTAGAAAATGTACAAAACTTGAAAACGCATGAGGCTTTATGTATGTTGATTGTTTATACATATATATGTATTATATATCTTTTCGCTAAATATGTATAATTGTGTTTTTTTTTAATTGTTAAAGTAAAAACTGCATTGCACATTTCGTCGGTGTGTGTGTGTGTTTGTGTAAATTTTGCTTGATCATTTTGATTAGCGTTGAATATTTTGGTTTAGAGTTTTGATTTTCCATATGCGATATATGTATGTATATATATATAGATATTTATAGAAATTTGATCTTTATTTGCTTAGATCTAGAAACTGTTGTAGCTTACATATAGTTTATTTATTTTATTGCTGCGGCTTAGTAACTTTAGCGACAATTCCCCCTTTTCTGGATATACAATTATAACATAATCCTTACTGATATATATTTAATAAAAATTTGTAATTAAATTATAAATTTCGTGTAGCAACCTATTTTTACAACTTGCGCTTTGGATTTGCAGCGAACATTTGGCACCAAGCATGTAATTAAAATTAAATTAAAAATTAAAAATAATAATGATTAATGATTAATGTATATTAATATCGACACAATACTTGTTATCATATAAGAAACTAATCCTCACTCTCTGCGGGTAACTCAGTTGGATTTCATTCAAATCAGCGTGGCTCGTAGACGCAGTCCGTCTGGGCGTGGGCATGGACTGATGGCACCTGCGGCTGCTGCTGATGATGATGCTGATGCTGATGATGATGATGCTGGCAGCTGTGCTGCTGCTCCAATTGGTAGCCATAGGTGTGCCGCTCCAGCGTGGAGTTTGCATGTGCCTGCACCGAAAAGCTGAGCCCACAGGAGCAGTGCTCAATGTGCGGCAGCGGCGCAGTCGCCGGCGTGGCATGTACCTGGGCCTGCTCCGTAATAATTGTGGGCGTCGGTGACGGCGATGACAGGCAATCCTGGCAGTAGTGCGCCGACGGCCCAGGCGTTGGGGCATGCACATGACTGTGTGTCGCATGGAAATGATTGTACATGGCTGATGTATTTGGCGGCGGTGGTGGTGGTGCTGGCGGTGGTGTTGGTGGTGTCAACGATTCTGTGGAGGCGCTAGAGTCGCTGCTCTCGGTGGCCGTCTCCGTGGCCGTGCTGTCCGAGGTCGATGTGGACGAGGATGGTTTGTGTGGTTGATGCGGCTGATCGGGTGGATGATGGCAGCGACATATTGTAACTCAAAAAGTGCCGCCATCGTGTGGATGACTGGCTGCAGCTGTGGCCGCCTCCACAGCCGTAGACGCCGGCGCAGCGAGCAGGCTACCTGCCAGGCCATTGCCGTTGGGCTGATGCTCCGGCGAGCCGACGCCAACGCCAACGCCAACGCTGTCGCCATTCTGCTGTAGCTGATTGTTGTGTAGATGATTGTGATTGTTTATGGAATGATTGAGCGATGGATGTGTGTTGGGTGAGTGTGCCTCGTCGCTGGTTAGACCAATGCCGCCTACTCCGTTTGCTGCCACGCCAAGTGATTTGGGCGGTATGGGAGGCGGCGGCACGGGTATATCCTCAACATCAAACGAGCTGGTGGAACTGTCCCGTTGCGTTATATTCATGGCGGACGCATGCATGTGCACATCCAGACTGCCATTGGAGCTGATGCGACAGTGCTCACGATGATGCACGGTGCTCATCGATATGCTGGATGACTCCTCGCTCAGATTATTTAGCTGATTGAGCTCACGCGAACTGGTGGTGGAGATGCCCGAGTCACGAAAATCGTTGGGAGCAAAGCAAACGTTCAAATGGTTGCCGGCTTCCTGCAGATTATGAGGCAGCGAGTGCGGCTGCTGATCCGCTTCGGGATCATCGAAGCTAATGTCGACCACGGAGTACTTTTGGCCGTGCTGCTGCTGCTGGGCCGAGTGACGGCGCGCCGCGGCATCTGCCATGCCGCCGCCAAAATCGTTGAAGATCAACGGATTTGAGGCACGTTTGTCCGGCGTAATGCCACGCGGCGGCAACGGCGGTGCACTGGGTGAGCTGTTAGCTGGCTGACGCTTGGGTGGCACCTCCGGACTGTCCATGGCGCCGTTGCTTGTTGTTACAAAGTTCTGTGAACGCGGCCGATTGGGCACGGGCGGCGCATCGCCTTGCTCAGCGAGTGGCAGCTGTATGCTGAGGCTCTCCTTGCTGAGCGTCTGATAGGAATTCATTGTTTCCACCGGGCGCAACGTGTCGCCGGGTCGCGTATATATCTCATCCAGCTCATACACATAGTTGGCATTCGGCTGGCCACCGGCCAGCTGCTGGGCAGCTGAACGCTGCTCCGTGGGCAGCGGTGGCAGTGGTGTATTCACAATGCTCTCCGAGGGCTGACGCTTGAGCCGCCCCATGCCGGAGAGGCTCTGCTTCAGCTGGGAGAAGCGTTCCAGCAGGCGGTTGTGCAGCGGTTGTACGCCGGCGGGTGCTAGCTGTCCGTGCAGCTCCAGTGCCTGCTCCAGAATTTGTATCTGCTCCAGTATTAGAATCTTGAGCCGCTGCACGTTGGCCTGCTGGCCAGCACCTTGCGGTGATTTGAGAAACTGCTCCGAGAAGAAGGCCTCCTGATACTTACTGATACCGCCCATGACATTGGCATCGATGGTGCCCTGCAGCCGCATTGAGAAGGGATTGATATTGCGTTTTGGATCACGCTTATACTGTACAATTAGATCAGCCAGCTCCTTGCCCGCATTGTTGATTATCTCGCATGCATACTCCACCGGCGTTAGCTCCTGCACGGACTTCTGCTTGACCTCGAACCAGCGCAAAATGCCTGGCAATGCACTGGCAATGTCCAGCGTGGTGCGCTCAATCCACAGCGACTTGAACTCGTTATCCTTGTCAATGGGTCCCTTGTACATGGGTCGATCGTAGATGAAGCGCGTCACATCGTTCACCTCATAGAAACGGGCTATCTTCTCCGGCACGGGCACCATCGCTGTCTTGAGAGCCTGCGCATCGCCCACCGGCCGCACATTGCTGATCTGTATATACTGCTCGGGTGCATTCAGTATAGAAGCCTCCGGCGGACTATTGTTGGCCAGTATCTGTGCGCTGGGAAACTCCGTTTGCAGGCGCTGCGTAAAGGCGCCAATGCGCTCGTATTCCAGACCGCGATAGACGAACTGTTTGTTCTGCGAAAGTTTGTTGGCGGCGGCTTAATAAAAACGAACTATTAACCAAACAGACCAAATGCTTACCCGCACAAAGAGTGGCAGGCCCATGCCATAGAAACCAACGCGAAAGTATTCCGGCTCCGGACGCAGCTGCGTCAATATATTCTGAAAGAACTTGGCCTCCAGAATGAGGATGTCGCTCAGCTTGTTGTAGTCAAAGCGGCGCGTCTCATAGAGCTGTGCCAGCTCCTTGCACAATGGAATGCCCTTCTCCCAACATTTGCCCTTGTCAAAGTACTTGAGTATCTGCAAGAGGAAAAGAGATTATGTATTTATGTATATGCATATAACTAGTATTATCCCTCCTTTCCGTTTCCAAGATTTCAATTAATTAAATTTATTTATTGGTAATTAAAATAATTGCATACAACCAATTTTCGCGAAATTTCCACAGTTGTGTGTTGAATTTGCAAAACTGCTGGAACATGTATCTATTAAGTGCCTTTATTGTCAGTCAGTCAATCCGTTAACCAGCTCAAGCATTTTTATGTGTTGAGAGAATGCCCAACTTATACTTGTAGCTGCTTTTCGCTTACCTCGTGATACAGTCGCTCCTTGCGCTGCCACTCCGGCTGCCCGCTGTTATCAAAAGGCGCAAAGCTTTGGGTTTCGCGATCCCAGCTCAGCATGGAGGCATACAGTTTGAGCGTATAGCCCGCCTCCGTGTAGTTCTCCGCCTGTAGATGCAGATTGTGCAGCTTGTAGATGTATCTGTTGGTAGTATATTTGATTATGATTGCTTTTGATTGACTTGGACTGAGTGAACGTACCTAAGATACATCTCCTTGCGATTGATTTCGTTTTTGTAAAAGTTGAGTAAATTGACGGTGCAGGTCATGCGTTTGTCCCGATTCTCCTCGCCCTGCATCACGCTGCGATAGTCCAGGAGTCGCTCCAGTAAGCGGGTGACGGAGGCTATGAAGGCAGTGCCCGCATCCTTCCAATTCGGATTTTCCGTTTGCACCTTCTCCAGCAAACTAGTTGGTCGGAAAATTAGATAGTTATGTTAAAAACGTTTCCAATCGGCAGTTTTGGGTTTTTGATTTTATAAAAGGAACTTAAAGTGAGTAAAAATTGATATCTTCGCATTGCCGAAGACTAGATACCCTTGCAGACATATTTTATACTTGAAACCCAAATACAACCGTTTCCGCCAATTTTCCACAGCTGCGTGTGGAATTAGCAAAATTGCAAAAACACATATTCATTAAGTTTTTATGCAGTGCCTTGAACACAAACTTGAAGCCACAGTCAGTGGGTTATATATGTGCTTGTGAGTTCTATAAAGAATTCTAGAAAGAATGAATGACTGGTTGTCTACCTACAGTAGCTATATATATGTACATAGTAGCTATATATAATATGTAATATGATTTTTGGAAAATTATTGCAAACAATTTAATACTTCTACTTTGTAAATAAACTAATGTGTAT